AAAGGGTCAAAATTCTTGATATCCAATGAAAATTCTTGTCACAAGAATAAATAAGTATGAAAACTCTAACCCAAACCATTCAAAGTTATGGTTACGATTTGTTTTTTAAAAATAGGTCAAACTCCAAGGTCAACGTCAAAGGGGCAAATTTTTTGGTACCCAATGACAGGTCTTCTCACAGGAAAAAATATTTGAAGTATGAAAGTTCTAGCCATTACCGTTCAAAACTTATGGTCAAGGTTAAAGTATTTTCATAAGTACAGAAATCTCAAAGGTCAAGGTCAAAAGGTCAAAGTTTTTGGTATCGAATGAAAGGACTTGCCACAAGGAATACAAAGGAATACATATGAAATATGAAAGTCCTAGTATCTCTCGTTCAAAAGTTATAGCCAAAGTAAAAGTTAGAAATTTTTGTGGCAATCACTTTAGCCTATGGCTCAGGTGAGCTAAAGATGACTAAATCAGTAAAATACAGAAAAATAGTAAAGAATTTAACCATAATTTTATTCTGTAATGTGAAATATAACTGTTATAGTTTTCAATACATAAAATATCTCACGTTCAATAAACTTTCCATCCACTAAAGGATGATCTATGGAAATCAGCATTACTAATAATTTTACCCTGGAGACTTCCGTTTGGATTCGTTCTAATGAAGACTATATTTCCTTGCATCACTTGTACAACAACAATACCAGTTGTCGTTCTTACATTCGTCACGCTGTATGCAGATGTATACATTGATCCATCCGTTTCCGAGTTAACAATAATTTGAGTATATATATAACCAGGATTGTATGCTACTATTGTCCACGTAAAAACATAGACACCTTGGTCAGGCACTGTGAAGACACCACTGTGTTTGTTGTAATGGTTTCCTAAGTTTGTAACTGTCGAATGGAAAATTAGGGTTTGGTTCTGTCCAAGGTTTTCGACATTACTGGCCATGAATGCATAAAACGCCGCTTTATTCACAATTTGCTCAGCTGCAAGAAGAAAAACCAACAAATGTAAGCGAGATAAAGACTTGCAATACTGTTGATTCAGTTTATACAAAAAGACTTACTTGACCCATCGATTTTATTTTCTTGTGATATTTTTTTTTGCATATAGAAGATAAAAGATAATACAATATGTGCCTTTTTGATGACTGTTTTATATCGTTAAGTTTTTCCCGAGTTACACTGTTTTCATGTATTTTTTCGATTTTAAGTCAACATAAATGCAAAGATTTTATTTTTTCTTAAAATAGCATCGAGAAAAAGATTTATGAAAATTCCCAAACATTTAGTGACAGCAGAAAACTTAAAACCATTAACTGTAGTTATCAGATTTGACTCTCAAAAATTCTGAACAATTTCAAGAAAATTCAAAATTGCCAAATTTTTAAAAAGCTAGTAACACAAAAACAAGAAACTTTTCTACACTTTATACAACCATTCCTAAAGATTAAAAACTATGCTTTTTAGTATCAAATATCATAAATAGCTCCTTTTCAATAAAATATTATTTTCCTATCATGTGATTGAGCATCAACAGAATAAATTTGATAATCGTCACCCGCGTGATGCAATGGTTAGAGTGTCTGCTCTAGAGTCGCGGAGTAAGGAGTTGATCCTTACGTTGCGGGTTCGAATCCCGCCGTGGGACGTGAAGACCGGTCCTTTGGATGAAACCGTATAAACCGAGGTCCCGTGTCGCAGTAGGTGCTGGCACGAAAAAAGATCCCTCCCTACTCAATGGCCCTGAGTGCCGAGCATAGGACAAAATTTGCAGCTCTACACCGGCAAGTGGTTGCGTCTCCATATGGGTGAAAAATTATCGAGAGGTACGTTAACAACATACAATCAATCTATCACTCTGATTCTACACACAAGTATATGTTAGGAAGATGTTAAAGGATGCTTGTGTATGAGTTCCTAATTGACAATATTTATGGAAACTTTGGAGATCAGGTCTTCTATTGAAATTCCAATGGACACAAATTGTGCTTCATTATGAGATGACCTGTTTTTATATTTCTATGAAACAGAATTTATTCCAAAATACTACATGAGAAGAATTAAGAAAACACTTCTGCGGCCTTCAACTGGACATTTACTCTTGTAAAAATCTCGACGATGAATTATCATTTAACAATTGTTCATTAACTTGTCCATTCGATATATTCTGGTGAACTCCAAACTAACAACTAAAATATACGACAAACGGGATGATTTTATCTCCTTTAAATTTCCTTATCTGTGTAGAATTATATCCTGCATATGGTATTTACATCTCCCAACTTATTCTATACTCAAGAGCTTCCCCGAGTATTTAAAACGAGAGAAGCTACTGACAGATCAGCTGATTTAGCAGGGATTTCAAACCTCGTTTAAAGTCAGAATTTTGTAAATCTTCTAATCCTTATAATAATCTTGTAAGCCAATATAACCTAATATTGGGCGTTTTATCTGACTAACTTCATACCAATTGTTAGGCCTTTGTGTTTGTACTGAGTTTGAATAAGGATTATTCTGTCAATTTTTACAATGGATAGGGCTCATGACGGACGTGTCCAGTTGACAGGAGATCGATGCTTACTCCTCCTAGGCACCTGGTCCCACGTCTGGAATTTTCAGAAGACTGTGTGTAAGCAAAGTTTAAAGATTGTTTTTTTTAGTTTGATCATTGTTTGTTATCTCCACTCTTTTCATTGTATTGATATAAGAAGGCATTTTAACTGCTAAAATTTACCCATTGAAATAACATATAGTATAACCTTACCTTACCTGGTGACAAAAGGCGTTTTTCGGTGATGCTTTGGACAACTCTCTCCTTTTTCTTATTAAATCAGACTTAGGCAAAAAGTCCGTATTATCTCTGGAATAAGTTCTGTTTCCATTCTTATTTTCCTCTTTCAAACCCTGGTCACTGCTTTTCGTGGAACATATCAACTCACATATCCATGAAAACGTCTCTTTTGTCTCCTTTTGATGTTTGATATTCATCTCAAGATTTTGGATATTCTTTTCTTGCGTTTTTATTAAATTGACGTATTCTCCGACAGTGTTTTCCAGTCCTTTTATATATGCATTTTGTTTTCTTTGAGTCAATTGTAAGGTTTTTACAATCTTTTCGAGTCTTTTCATTGATCCAGTAAGATCCGGATTTAAACTGTATATTCCACAAGGAAAGGACAAATAAATAATCATAAAATGAAACGAAAACATAATTAGTTGTTTTATGAGGTTTATACACGGTACATGCCTGAAAATAATTTGCCCCAAATTGTGAACCTTTTGGGCCAGGAAGTAAAAAAAAACACGATTACCTGAACTGATAAACTCTTATCTAAACCTACTTAATTCATTTGATTTTTGTTCTTCTGCCATAGATACATGTACTAATCATAAAATATGGAAAGAAAATTAGATAACGCTCAATGTTACTGGGTACGCCATTTAGAAATGTGTGTTACGCAGTTGAGAATATCAAAATGTTAATCAAACGTCTTTGTTGATACTAACACTTTCTCACGTTAGTGCGTCTTCTACACTCCTCTCAGTTGAGATTTTTAATTTGTATATACCCTTACCTAATAATAAACCATTTTTTTATTAAAAGAAAAATAAGTAACGTCAGGTGCCTGTGGAAAAGTACACTAGGAGTTAATTGTAGCTATGAGTAAATGTCAGCGTCTTATTGAGTCAGATCCTTTAAATATTGTTTCACATATTTCAGCTGACCATTAAAAGGTAAAAATCTTGCCGAAGAAATACAAAGATGGATGTTGTTTGTCCCTGGTTATAGCATAAAACCAATCAACAAACAGTTGTAAAGGTGTTTGTATATCTTGCAATTCCTTTGCAGTAGTGTATAATGTTTGTACACTGTTTATGAAAACAAAAGAGAGGCCAGAAGTTTAGTCATTTATTGGATTGATTGTTTTAGTGAAGGAAGGAATATGTTTAATAATGTTTGATCTGTTGCCCAGTGAAAAGAAAGAGATGTGTCGTTTGTTAAGAATTGAAATAAAAAATCGCCAAATAAAAAAGATGTTGAATATCATGATAACAATAATCTATACAATAACATATGATTATTGTTATCCCTAAATTTTCGTTTAATTTAGACTGTACACATATTAGATATGATAAAAATGAAGCATCCATACTTTATCTACATAGAATAAACGACGCTCCCAAGACAAAGGACTCAGCTTATGATGGTCACCATACTCATTCTGGAAAAGGATACATTATCCACCTAAACTATTGTCAATATTTAACCACTGGACTGACAAATGGACTGTTTTTGTTTTAAATAATAACTTGCATGGTAAGAAATATGAGAGTCGAAAAAAAAAAATTAGCTTCTGTGACACAACGCTGCAGAGCGTGTCACGTGACCGCCTAGATCATGTGATTTGCACATGGGTGGAACAGTTGCCGATGCCCTATATAAAATTGGAGAGGACTCCTTTAATTTTTTTAATATTTAGATCTTATATCATATTTCTTTTATGCAAGTTTTTCAATTAGTTCGCGAACTTCTGATTTTCACCTTATTAGACAATTTCCCCAGTACCTATAAAGAGTATAGACGGCCTAAACAGCATAACAGATGAGTTTTTTTTTTAAACTTTCATAGCCTTGATGTTTTATTTTTATATATTCACATTCACTGAATATTTTCTCCTTTATTTCTTAAGAAAATCCATTGCCGTTAATCAGTGCATGAAGAACACTGAGCAAGCCACGTGTATAGTTTTCTTGAACAATGGCTGTTCCATCAGTTTAACATACAATGACATATTCATCTTTAAAACAACAGTTAACAAATTCTATTTTACTTCCGTATGATTTTTTTCATATGTAAATATAAACAATATAATGCTTTCTTTATTTGTTAGTACGGGAATTAACATCGAAGCAATTGCAGAAAAAAATACATTATCCGTTTACGCATTTTATTATTTAAATAAATCTTATACATGTATGAACTTTAAATACCCCTTTAGAATGAATACCCTACTATTAATTTGAAACTCACTGTTTTTTTATTAATTATACAGAGGCTCACAAAATATTTTACGCACTAAGTCTAGAACAATGTACATGACAACTTCATATTTAGAAAAGTTTCCATCCACAAAACGAAGTTTTATAATGGGAATCGCTAAAAATGTGCCCTTTACGAGGTATGGTTGAATTCCCATTTACCCGGACAAAAACAACGTCATTCTCATTGAGCATAACAACAACCACCCCAGTAGTTGTCCTAATGTCTGGTACATCATATGCAGTTGTGTACATTGCCCCAATTGGATGTGAGTTGACTAGTACTTCTGTTCCAATGTAATCCCATACTGAAATAGTCCACGAAAATACATATACTCCGTGACCAGGGGAAGTAAATATTCCATTGTGATGATTATAATAGTTACCAGCATTGGTAACTACCGTCCGAAAGATAAGGGTATGGCCTGGTCCTGGATCTTTTTCTTCTGTAGTCAAATATGCATAGAATGCTACTCCAGTATCTAAAAAAGTATACACATAATCAGAAGACGATTTCAAAAAACAAGTCCCAGTTAAGGTGATGTATTACTGTTGATTCAAGTTTTGATATCAAACCAATTATTTCTAATTTATTTGCTACTAGTAAACTGTAACCTTTTGAAAAAAAATCCAAATTATTTTATACGCAGGTAAATTAAAGTAAGTCACACACTTATGTTTTAATTAAAGAACAGTATGTCGTGAATTTTTTTTATATAATATTTTCAGAGACAAAGTATTATAGAGTCTTTTTTTAATCTTAGTCGTAAAAAAATTAGCAAAAAGGGCTATATTTTTCCAGATAATTAAAAACAGTTGCACCAACGCCTTGTAAGGTCAATTTACACAGATGCATCTAATCGAATTACGATCGCTTTAGATGTTCTCAGAGCTTGAAAAGCAATGAAAACTTACCTGCTACTAAAGCTCGTTTTGGTCTTAAAATCAATCTCTCGTTATTTGCAGTTTGACGGCTTAAATTGATTGATTTTGATAGAAAGCTTCCATTTTGGTTGTGTTCTGAGTAAATCAAACTATTGCTGGCCGTATGATCTTTTCCAACGTCCTGTTTTTCTGCAGTATTTTTTTCATTACTTTTCTTTAACAAATCCAAAATTAGTTCCTTCTGTTCCAACACAGTTTTATCCAGACGTTCTAACTTACGTTGGTTACTTTTCAGTATCTCTGCTTGTGTAGAGATCAACACTTCCTGATCTTCAAGCCTTTTCTCGAGTTTCGTAATGTACAAAGTTTGCCTACGTAGCACTTTTTGCATCTCATACACAGCATTTTCTAAATTTTGTTTCATATCGTTGACCTGCAAACCATGAACACTGACACAAGATAGAATCAAAAGGATCCAACAAACCATTTTTATTCAGACTGAAGGAAATTAACTATGTCGTGTAGTGGAAAGTTTCCTTCTTGCACTAAAATAAATTTTAAAATGGGACAATATCTGATAAGAATATTATATACCGTGGTATATAGACACATCGGAATGCTCCGAAATACATTGACAATGCACAATTTATTTTATCAATAATCACACAAATCATGTTCTGCATTGAGGTCTTGAGTTTTAGAAAGAATAAAAAAAATTCCTAGACTTTAAGGTTAATTGCTCTGTCCTAAATTATATTGGTATTTAATTTTTTCGAGTCTGAAGAATAATGCCTCTTACAATGGGTGAATACTACTGTTGGTTCTTGGGAACGTTATTTTTGGATAACCCATACATTCAAACGATTCAGTGTATATATAAATGTATATTGACAAAATTGTTGTTCGTGGGGATGTAAATTTATGGATAAGGGTAACCCACAGAATCCAAGAACATTGGTCTACCACGAACAACGATAAATTTACAGTATAATGTATTCAAAATTAAATGCAACTAGGTTTCATTGAGATTGTGACCATCTCAAAGTACTCTTTTAGCAACAAACATGAAAATGTAAGGTAACTGAAATATCTTCTATGAATCACAAATATTTTGAGGCAGACTGGACTTAAAGAAAAGATGAAACATATGGAGAGCAAAAAAGAGCAAAAAGCCATAAAACAATACAAAATAGGAGCAAAGCAAACTAGGACCTCCAAAACATCAGTTTACTTTGGCATAATTCATATCAGCGTAACACCTGTTTTCTTCCCTTCATTGTCTTGGCTACTGGCATTTTTATTTAACCCCCCCCCCCCACCTAGAATGAAAAAATATCTGCTCCACTTTAATTTTGGAAGAACTTTATTTTTCTGTTTTCTTTTAACAAAAAGAAACACAAAAAATATAACGTACTAAAATAATGTACATTAATTGACTCTATATTTAGAACAATTTCCAACCACAAAAAGAAGTTTTATAGTAGGAAGAACTTTCAATATCCCCTTTGTGATGTACACTTGAATCTGCATTGACCCGCACATAAACGACATCATTCTCATTGCGCCAAACAACAACCATTCCAGTAGTTGTCCTGACATCCGGTACGTTAAAAGCGGTTGAATACATGACTCCGACTGGATTTGAGTTGACAAGTAATTCTGTTCCAATGTAATCAAATACTAGTACTACGATAGTCCATGAGAACACGTACACACCGTGACTAGGAGATGTAAATATTCCACTGTGTTGATTATAATAGTTGCCAGAATTGGTGACAACTGACCGAAAGATAGGAGTATCATCTGGTCCAGGGTGTACTTCCTTTGTTGGCATATATGCATAGAATGCTACTCCAGTACCTACAAAATACAGTATGTAGTATGCAGATCAGCAGACGACTTCACAAAGTAAGCTATTTTAGAGAAAATATTACTGTCGATAAAAGTTTTGATATCAAACCAATTATATTGTCAAGTAATTGATTTGCAACTGGTAACCAATCTTTAAGAAACAAAATAAATAGATGAATTTATATCAATGCCTTCCGATTAATATACATAAATTGACCTTACAAGGCATTGATATAACTTCATTTATTTGTTTTGTTTCTAAAAGATCGGTTACCAGTTTCAGAGCTTGAAAAGCAAGCCAAACTAACCTGTCGCTACAGCTCGTTTTGGTCTTGAAATCACCTTTTCGTTGAGTACATTTTATCGACTTCTAGATGTGATTGACTTTAATAGATCCTTTCGTTGTGGTCTGTAGAATTTGATATTCACATTTTCAATGTCTTTGTCCGAGATAAAATTACCAATTGTAAATGTAATTTATTTCCTCATGAATGTTTTGGCGCGGTTCCAAAAAAAAAAAACACGTGCAGGGCGGGACAACACCTAGAGAGAGGCAGGCTTGGAGCACGTGGATTGGCGGAATCAAAGCATGTAAATATAAGGAATAAAATTTTTCGAATTCATGAACATGATCAATGGATTGGCTTGTGTGATAATTTTATGCATAAACGCCTTCGTTTATGCAAATTATCACACAAGCCAATCCATTGATCACTTCATGAATTCGAAAAATAAGACAGTTATTCCTTAATTGAGTACATGAAGTTATTTATATCCCTATGGCCTTTTCCACTGTCTTGTTTTTCTGCATTATTCTTCACTTTATTTTTCTCTGACTTCAAAATCAGTTCCTTCTGTTCCGACACAGTTATTTCCAGACGCTCTAACTTACGTTGATTACTTTTCAGGATCTCTGCTTGTTAAAATGTCAAAACTTCCTGATCCCTGAGTCTTTTTTCGAGTTTCTTGATGTAAAACGATTGCATACGTTGGTTGGTTTTCACTATCTCTGCTTGTGAAGAGAACAAAATTTCCTGATCTTTTAGTCTTTTTTCGAGCTTCTTAATGTACAAGGTTTGCCCTTGTAGCGTTTTTTGCATCTCATACACAACATTTTCTAAATTTTGTTTGACATCAGTGGCATGCAAACCGAACACATTAACACAAGATAAAATCAAAGGAATCCAACAAACTATGGTCGTTGAGACTGAAGAAAATTTACTATCGGTATGTCGTATTGAGGAACGCCTACTTGTATGCACAAGAATACAAGAATCCTTTTAAAATGGAACAAAAACTTGATAAGAGTATTAGACACTTTGGAATGTTCTCAATTATACACTACAAAGTACACATTTCTTATCAATAAACGCAGACAGAATGTACTGCATTAAGATCTGATTTAAAAAATAAATTTAAAAAAATCATTTCTTATGATTTCTTAGCGCTATTCATGAATTAACGTGTTGTTGTACACCTCAAAGACGCTAAAGTATAAAGTCTATACTTAAAAATGTCAAAGTGTAAAATATATACATGTAAGCGCCTTGACAGGCCTATAGGAAGCAATTTCTGTTGGAGGATACAGCCATACATTTTCAGATAGGGTCATTATCAACTACCAAAATACCTTGACAAAAGGTTATTAAACGTTAACATTGGGGGAGCACATTTGTATTGTAGCTAAGTTTTCTATATCATATATTTATGGTTTCCTAGGTTTGTAACTGTCGAATGGAGAATCAGGGTATGATCACGTCCGCGATGTTCGAGCTAGATTTCACTGATATAAGCTTAAAAGGCCACTTTATTCAATATTTGCATACGAGAAAAGGTAAAGCAATGTAAGCGGATGACTTGTACTTCATTTTATAGGAAATTATTGACTAAACGACTTTTTCTTGTTTTCTTGTCTTGCACTTAGAAAATAAAATAGAGTATGTTTTGTTTTTAAATTAGTATATTATAACTTTCTTGTCTTTTTTTCTTTTTTAATCACTCTGTATTCAAATTGTAATTGATTTATAAGGATAAGCATCTTTGCTACTATAAAGGCGAAGATTTTATCCTTATATAAACAATAGCATCGTGTCGGAGCAAAGTCAAGTTAATACGAAATTAAATTCATAAACAGGCACATTTTCTGTCAGCAGAAAATTCAGTGATAAAAAAGTATTTTATCTTTTAAAGTTAACCAATTAAAATGCCACATAGAATAATTTTAACATCCCTGGTGTTAAAAGGCATTTTTCCTGTGTTATTTCGAAAAACTCTCACCTTTTTTACTCAATAGATTTGAAGCTAAAAGTCCAAGTCTCAAGCATTAGTTATTACTTCTCTATCCAATTTTAGCCTATGTTTTTTGCCGACTTACATTGCCTTGAGATACCCCTTTGATGTTTAATATTCATCTCAAGATGTTGGATTTTCTTTTCTGGAATTATTTTTTTTATCAAATTCACTTGTCCTCTCACAGTGTTATCAAGTCCTTGAAAATATGCATTTTGTTTTTTTCCTTGATTCAATTTTAAGATTGTTACGTTTTGTTAAGCCTAAAAACATCAGGATTTAGAAGTGTATAAATTATTCCACAATGAAAACACAAAAAAGCTCTCTAAAAATCAATGTACTCGTTTGAGTTATGGGGTATACATATAAAGGGCGATAATTTGTCCAAAAAAACCTGTTGGTGATTTGTATTGATAAAATCTTATCTTCGCTTAAGTTATTTATTCGATATGTGTTCTTCTGTCGAGGATACCAGTTATAAATTTTCGAAAGAAAAAGAAAATAAGATAACACTTATGAATGAAACGTTAGATAGATCATGGTTTTGTTTTACGCAGGTTAGAAAATAAAATACATATATTAAACAAACCTCTGATTTGATAATTATCATATTCTCAAATTTCTACTCTCTTTTACTTTTCATTTTGTAAACCAAAAATATTTATTTAGAAAAATAAGACATTAGAGTTTAAAATTGACGTTCATCAAATAGTCCCTTCTACAATTTCATCATGACTAGGAGTAAGGGCTAAATCCTTACAGCAAAAGTGCAGTAGGAGGTGATTGTAGCTATAAATAAGTCCTCTGAAATGTGTTTGTCTTATCGAGTCGGATCCTTAAACCAGCGTTACATTTTCAGTTGACCACTCAAAGGGATGTTTCGTTAGTCAGAAGCATTAGCAAAGAAGGAAGTTTTGTGTCATTAGTTACAGGATAACATTTTTTTGTTTCTTCGAAATGAAAATATTTGAATTTCCAAATAAAGAATATGATTAAACAAGATGTGTTTGTGAAACACTGATGCCCCTGTATGACAACATAGCGAATACTAAACTTTTCTTCAATGCAAATTAAATATGTTGGAATCTAAAGAAAGGTCTTTTCACAAGATATACAACTATGTAAAAATGAAAGTCCCAGCACCACCCGTTCAAAAGGTACGGCCAAAAAATAAGTTTTCGAAAGGTAGGTCAAAATCCAGGGTCAAGGACAAAGGGTCAAAGTTTTTAGTTTCTAAAAGAAAACAGAAACATCTTGTCACAAGGATTACATATATGAAGTATGACAGCCCTAGACATAACTGTTCAAATGTAACGATGGTTAAAAATTTTCAAATGTAGGTCGAATTCAAAGGTCAATATCAAAAGGTCAAAGTTTTTGGTATCCAGTGAATGGTCTTAACACAAAGATTAAATATGTTTAATATGAAAGCTCCAGTCCTAACCCTTCAAAAGTTATAGTCAAGGTTACTTTTTAAAAAATCGGTCAAACTCCAACGTCAAGGTTAAAGGTCAAAGTTTTTGGTATCCAATGAAAGATCTTCTCACAGGGATTACATAGTGTAAATTTACAATTTTCGTGGCGTTTGTAGAAAAAACCTTGGTTTGTAGGGACTTGATTTCGTGGATGGAGAATGTTTTAGTAGTAATGTATACTAAATTTTATATTTCGTGGTGGTCATAAATTCGTGGGTCTATCCTTGCCTCAAAAACAACGAAGAATAAACCACATGAAAATTAGTGATTTCACAGTATGTGAAGTATGAAAGCCATTTATCATTCAAAAGTTACGGCCGAGGTTAAATTTTTTTAAGTACGTTAATTTCCAAAGTCAAGGTCAAAGTCGTTGAAATCCAGTGAAAGGTCTTGTCATTAAGAATGCATATGTGAAGTATGAAAGTCTTAGAATATACCGTTCAAAAATTATAGCAAAGGATAAAGTTTTTAAAAGTAGGTCAAACTTCAAGGTAAAGGTCAAAGTTATTGGTAGCAAATGAAAGGGTTTGTCATAAAAATACATATGTGAAGTATGAAAGTCCTAGAATCTGCCGTTCAAAAGTTATGACCGAAGTAAAAGTTTGGAGTTTTTGTTTAAAAGTGGTTCAAACTTCAAGGTCAAATTTGGTGGTACCCATAGAAAGGTCTTGTCACAAGGAATAAACATTTAAAATATGAAAGTCATAGCTTCACTTAATCAAAAGTTATAGGCAATGTTAAAGTTTTTGCGGACCAACAGACAGACAGATGGACGGTCACGACAAAGACTATATACCGCCGAATCGACAACAGTGGAATAAAACCCCATATTAATCTTTTTGCCTCATTTTCAAACTTCATCTTTTGGAAATGAAACATTCTCTCTTTTAACTATTTTAAAATTATGCTAATATATAATTATGATTAAAATGTTACTGCATAGATTATTGAACAAGATAAGGTTTGTGTTATTTTTTTTCAAAGTGATATTTTGTTGAAATATATTTTCTTTTTCTTTAAATCTTAAAAGATCTGGTTTTATATCAGTTCGTTAAAAAAACAGCTAAAACAACTGCCCTTGTGTATTTCATTAAAATGTATACAAGTTCATTTTGGATACATGATTGGCGATTTTTATCAATAAATAAATAACGAAGTCCATTCAATCAATTCAAATCTAGAGCAGATCTAACACGGGCCTCAAACATAATAGAAGTAGGATCAAGTACCTCAAAGGAGTAAACATCCCCTGTCGACCGGTTACAACCACTGTATGTGTGCTCCTTGTCTTGATTGTGCAAACGGAATACTCCTAAATAATTCAGAGTGCTAACAAAACGTATATAAAAATAGTCTTTCAAAACTATCAGTCATCATAAATTTTTTAGAATACCTGGAGGACGATATATTAATTCTACGGTTAAAACAATGAATATTTTGACAAATACAAATTGTCTCAAGGTTGATGGTTTCCTACATTTTTTTGAAATTTCTAGGAATGTCTCCGTTTCCCCAATTATGAGAGGGAAGTCACGGCAGGTATGACCAGTTGAAAGGGGATGTTCAATGGTATTTTATCCCATTTCGATGTTTTCAGTGGACCATGCTTTCTCTGCTCTAAATTGATTTGGAGATAATGAGCAATATTCTTGCTCAAAAGTCCATTAAATATTACAAAATAGGAGCGGAGCAAACGCGGACCTCCAAAACATCAGAGATGGAATCAGGTGCCATTGTGAAATGAGCATCTTCCTGCCAACCGGTCACAACCATTGTGTGCTTCTTGTCATGATCGGAAAATAACGGGAAATCTGTGGACAACTCAGTGTTAAAATAATGACCTAACAATCAGTACGTCAAAAGTCAGTCGACATTTGACTTAATGAATTGTATTTGCTGACAAGATCATTGTATCGACTATAGGAACTTGCATGTGAACGAAATGATGACTCTGAACGAAACTGCTGACATTCTTGCTTCATCAACTTGTTTGTCAATAATTTGCTTCATTTAGAAATTGTTCATACGTAGAAGATATTCTTCCGTATTGAATCAACTGAGAGATGCTAACTCCGTATGCAGGTGACAAGGGTATATTCCTGGTAAGGGAAGTTGACGATTGAAATGTTTAAAAAGTCATCACGTTTAACATAAAGCGTTGTTGTTAGATAACCATTAATAACGTCTTTTCTAGAAGAGATCCAAATCCGAAACAAATATGTTAAACTTTCTGTTATCTTTTATTCCAATCTCACCGGGATATATTGTGACCACATAAAAATGGAAATGACTATAATTGTCGACTTGAGGGACACAGCAGTGTATAACAAGAAAACATTGATGTAACCATCAATTGTCGCCCGGGAAATAAATTAAGTAAACAATGGAAATGAGTCTTGATCATCAAACCGCTTCGATATGTGTGAAAAAGGCATGCGTCTAAATGATGGATACGATAGTCGAGAATACTTTGAAAACTTATAGTCGGATGAAAATCGAACAAAAACGATACTGTTTTAATCTTTATCAGTTCCTCAAGTAAATGTTGGCTGCATAATATATAAATTGAAACTAATCACATGCATAACCTATTTTCAAAAATGTATTTCACTTTAAGAATGTAAACACGAACTGTGTAAAGTACGTTTTTATAAATGCGAAAAGTAAAATTCGATGTTCTTAAAAAAAGGACCTCTCGTTTTTTCGATAGTAAATAAAAAGCAACTTTATATATTAAATATGAAAAACATATATATTTTTACAGATTCACTTTCTGGAAGTAAATATTTTGTGTATCTCGTAATTTATAAAGGGAAAGACCATTCTGATTAACAATCTTTTTAATGTTTAGAAAATCTTTAATTCTGAATAACTTCTCCCACCTCAATCCCCATATACTAACACTTAAACTTATATGTATAGAGCTGATGGATAATTTCATGCGCCAGTACCATACTAAAATTATCTAAAATTGATACTTAATTTAGCTAGTAAAAATTCTTCTGTTGTTAATACTAGAATTAGTTAATACTTAAATAAATATCTAAAATAGTCCATATTATTATTAATACCAGATGGCTTATTGACTTTCCTCTTGTCCATAATGTATATTACTGTATTTTTTTCCTTTTTACCCCATCTACAAAAAAATTCATATCGACTGAATAAAAGAAGGTGCATTCTCAATTTATATGATAAACATCTACGAAGACGGAAACCTCGAGTCTGTTTAAGATACGCATATTGACTCACCGATCGGAAAAGGAAGTCTGTGTATCACTTTAAAACTACTTAAAAAATATATATACATTATCTATTATCTTCACTCTAAGTCGCGACTTTCGCCATGTCGTCTGTCTTGTGGAATACCATTCTCTTCTACTGGATCGTGTGCCAAACGTTGGGTTTCCCGCCAAATGATATTCCTAATGAAGCCAGAACTCAGTCGCACAATTCTATTACTTTGAAGGCCATATTTCGCACCACTGCTGTGTTTTTGGAAAAATTTGCCCTTGGCTTAGTGAACAACTCAAAACTACCTCCTGCTCAAAACGTTCAGGCATTTTTTGGCACAGGTAATTTTTAATCATTTGTCAAAAATATTATTTGGTGGTCCTTATGATTAATCATCTCTATTGTTTTAAAAAATGAAATTTCAGATATATTTTCCTTTATTTCATACATAATAACTTTAAATTACAAGTAATTATTTTTTATTTTTATGTTAAGAACATTTAAATCAATTTTAATAAGAGCAATTATCAAAGACAAAACTTGCTTACTAGGGTGCAATATCAAATTCAACTTAAGAAGAAAACTGACACATATTTCAAACTTTTATAATGGTTTATTGGCGGTAATGGCCACGGCTGCACTCATAATTATTGCAAGTACAAAAAAGACACAGTTCCAAGGTGAACCCTGGGAACAGATGAACACCCAGATATTAAATTAATGATCATGTTCTTTAATGCTTTTGAATAAATTTAATTGAAAAGTCTAGGTGAGCACTACTGGTAAGCTGAATATCCGCCCACTCTAGGGATCAGCAGCCGCGACGGAGGGGTTGGCTCTCATGGTAGGGTTTTATCTGAAAAATACACAAAAACGAAGCAACAAAAGACACTTGGAAAATAAATACAGCCTACAGTTCAAGTACACTAAATTTGAAGCTAACACCATTTTATGGGAGGGTTGGGTGGGTGGACTTCCACGTGCTGAATGCTACACTGTACAAGTCAAGATATGCAGGGAGACTGCAGGGTGGCCGTGACGTCACATTTCACGCTTATCCCTGCTGCAGAGCTACAGGTGGCTAAAAACCCGACAAACCCCAAAAATGACATTAACGCTATTTAGCTTTGATCAATCGATTTAACTTAAATGAGTTAAATCCTATAAAATTATAAAGAGCTATAAGAGCTGTAAAAAGTAATAACTTTATTTCTGCGAAATAACTCGAGACAGTTTGCCTGCAAAAATATTATTCTCGCATTTATATATTAATATCCCATGCAGTAGATTATATAGAGCAATTGATCACAATTCGTGAAAGTTTGGTCTCCCTTAAAAAGCGGTAATGTCTGTTAAGTGATCTACAGTATTCTACAATAAATCACCTGTCAATACATAATTATATAAATTTCGTTGCAATCATTACTGTCCCTGCCTATCCTTCAGCTTTTGGTACAATTGTTCCGCTTTTTCGACTAAAATACGATGTTTCGCTACCATGTGTTACGCTTTTGAACCATTTTAGTCAAAAACTGCATAATTTAGTAAATTTATCTCATTTAGTGACAAAGTGTACATTATTCGAATAAAGCTCTAACGAAATCATAAGCACAAACTCATGAATGTATTGTGACGGGTAGTATACATGTACATGAACGCGGGGTATGCCAAAAAACTTCTTATTAGTCTGTATAAGGATGAGTGCAATGAGTGATAAAATTAATATTGCAAGACTAATTATTCCATAACAAAAAACAGGAAGAATTAAATGAGTGCTTCATGCAGAAAAGCTATTGTCTTTTTTTTCATAACGAACAGAAGGGTTGGTCTCTGGTTATATATAATATTATAGTTTTTACTTTATTGATGTCATGCAATCCATGCAGCGATAAAAAAAAGTAAATAAATGATTACATTGAAATATGAGAAATTAAAGGATGACGCCTTTTCCCAATATATGTAACATTCCACCAAATTACATGTTAGGCTTTAGATTACCTTTGCAATTTATTAATACATCCAATTGATTGACTTCCATCCACATTGTAAATTGTTAAAGGATGCCCGATAGGAAAATATATTATTGAAGATTTTGACTTCGAGAAAAACGTCGAAATTTTCATGTATACTACTGATTACCTATATTTTCATCAGTGTTTCACTTGAAAAAAAATTACCAACATATGTAATGTGGAAACAGAAATACAAATCAGTCACAATGCTTGGCAAATAGTGGTAAATCATAATCTTTAATTTATAAATCATTAAAATGAATTAAAAATGCGGTCGGTCTATTCTGAAATGTCTTAGATTTTGGTCAAGTGTTACTCTGTCAACGTATTCTTGTAAATATTCTCAATTCATTTTTTAACGTGTATGTAAAATTGTAAGATCTCGATGAAGCAAAAAAAAAAAATAATAATAATAAAAATAATAATAATTCTTAAGTGCAAACAATTCGTTTAAAATCGTAAATCGTTTAAGATATTTTTCTGTTTTAAAACACTTGTCTTAATTTTCTCAATTGACTGTTAATCAGAAAATTTATTTCATTTTCAATATTTTGAGACAAAATGATTGTGGTGCAATGTACCTCATTAATGGTGAAGCTGTAATTGCAATGTTTAAGAAACATAATCATAGTTTGCCAAGACACCAAAAGTGTATTTGACTATATACTCGTATATCAAACTGAACTATCACTTATGTTGTATTTAAGAATACAATTTTGCTATTGAGACAACATGAACTAGTACTCAAACCTCAAGAATTATGACAAAAAATCTTATGTGCCTGAAAAAATAGAACATTTAGAATATTTAAAAGAGCATTTGAAAGAGAGTAGAATAGAGGAAAAGAGAGGGCGAGACAAATGTTGTTTGTTTTCCCCGCTTGTTTACTGTAGCTGTTGATAAATACCTTGTGTTTTTTGGTGACGACTTTGTACTAAATGACACATTTGGTATCCTGGACATGAAATGCTTAAACCAGACAAATTATATTCCTTTTCTAAGAAAAAAATTCAGCTGCTTTGTACAAATTTTATTTAAAAACTTAAATTGACATTCAGTTATTTTCTATGAATTCAAATTTTATTAAGATATTTTCTTTATCGCATTTATCAAAAGGACTCTCTCAAATACTAAGAAGTCTTTTTTAAGGCATAATTTACATCCGGAATTTATGACAATTAGATAAAATTAAAAGGCTATCGCAACCAGTCACAACAGATGACATCGAATAGATATGAGAAAAATGGAGCCTATTTTTAAAAACCGACCATTATGTGTTAAAGTAATTTAAATGTATCAAAGTATGGGAATGTACTTGTAAATCGATCAAGATGAAAGATCTACCTTCTTTAAACTAAAACACACTGCTACAATTTTCCAAGTAATAAACGCAAAGCTAGCGGATAATTTTCTTGATCCCTCACTTCACTTAGTCGCAGTGATACAGTGGACAATATCCTGAATTATAGGAAACTCTATATTTAAAAAAACTTTCATCACTTAAAAGAATGAAACACGTGCTTAGATTAATAAAAAAAAAAGAAAGAAAAAGAAGACAGTTATCATGGATAAGACAAAGATATTATATCTTACAAACTTTGCATATGTCTTTCATTTCTGCTAGATAAACATTTTTTAAATAAAAACATGTGATATGTTTTATTTTATGTATTTCAGATCAAGAATCCTATTTAAACTACCTAAGAATAATCACCAGAATCATCGGCTATGAGAATGACATCCAAAGAGATTTTGCCAATGTTTCATTTTATCATGTTAATGGCGAACAGATTGCAATTGGTAAACATACATGTAATTTCTGTATCGTTTTGTCAATTAAATTTTCATCTACATTTACTTATATTGAAAAGTGTATCATGTTGCAAAAGCCATGTCCCGTAGTATTATTAGCAAAGGTGGACTAATAAGCTCGAATACTGCTTGTTATCTCCACATATTTCATATACAAGGCTGAAGAAAATTTGAGAGTGTGAGGAATTTGTTGAAAGATAAAAAGCATTTTTTCATCAACCCAAATACAAAATTTGCAACGAAGCTACCCAAACAATATTGTTTGACATCAATGACGGTATTCAAAACATTTAAAAACTTGTTAGTTACATGACAATCATAGTTTGTATTTTCTCAAAATTTTACTGTCTTAGTTTCCTACAATCTACAAAATGTAATGCTTTAAATGTAATTAAATTATAACATCACAATGTCAGAACAATACTAGTATGTAAAGAAATTTAGTTTTAAAAGCCTCTGTTTCTATTTCAAAAGTCTGATAAGTAAAGACAAATGTAACATTAATATTAACAATAAAAATTTGAACGGACAAAAAAGATATTTTTTTATTTAAAATTCACTATTAACTTCGAAAAAGATAAACTTAAAAAGTCATCCATCATGTCCGAAGAAGCTCTACATTAATCGGAACCTTTATTTTTTCTCAGCTCACAATTACATCCGCAATCTAAGACAAACAATAAAGGGTCTGTCCCGGAATGCCACAACAGACGACATCGAGCAGATCAGAGAAAAGGTTGGAGCAGCTTTGTATACAATTCAGGAATTCTACAGCAATACGAACTGGGTAGAACTCCGTAGAAATAGCATTTATCAGGATTTCGGTAATTTTTGTACTAAGCTGTAAAGTATTAGTATTGTTGCCGCTTACCGTTTCTAATAAATCTTCTATCTGCTAATCATTTTAACATTCTTGAATTGCTTCATTTTTTAGGCACGTGATATGAAAGTTGTCTGAAATGTATTATATTACATATATCAATTTTACACCAAGTACACTGTTAAAAAACATCCTACGCTCGTACAGAGTACACAAAAATAAATTTTGCTCATATTACTTGAAAAATTATATTATTAACCTATGCAAATGGAATATATACTAAGCATTTTTTTAATTAAAGGTCAAGAAGGCGTTACGTTGATAGAGGTGGAAAACCTTCAAGAAAACACCTGTACAGACTGCGCATATCTAGAAGGGTATGACATTGTATTACTTTCGATACGATTTCAACCTATATTCAATGATAATTCATGCCAGTTACTTTCAATGAGATAGCAATAGATGTTTTTTCTTCAGTTTATTTTTTTTCCATTTTAAAATATATTTTGACCATAAATTAGTGGCATACGTGGAGATGAAATAAGGCCAAAATTTTCAAATAGAATATTGAAGTATGAAAATATCAATAAAAGCATAAAACTTTATACTTTTACTTTTTCAAAAAATGTTTGAAGTATACATTTAGTTATTATTTTTATCAACTCATTACATGAAAATGACTTGCTTTACTTGTTTTGATTCTTTCACTTATCACACTACTTGTACGCCATTATATAAACGATTTTTATTGGCAGATATTGTTTGTTTCAATACATGTACAAGCATTGCAAAAAAACACGTAGAAACAAAGCTTTCCATTATATATATACGTATTTTTTATTTACAGACTTATAATATGTGACAACAATATTGTTACCAACAAATTGACAAGTGGCTACAAATCAGGGCAAGATGTTACAAAACCCGTCCGTGAGTGCTTTTTCTTCATGATTTGTAATTAAAATTAATTTAATTTGAAGAAATTACATGCAATTTTTTTCTCTTGTACAACACAATACATGATATAATATTCCTCATGCTAACACTTCAAGTACTTAATGACATACACAATGTACCTTACCTACTGATAATTTTTCAAGATGTTCTAATTTTAAACTTATAATACCATTGCATGTTCTTAGACAAATGTCAGCATGCGTTACCAGGGGTTTTGAAAAGATATCAAATTATGAATTTTTTTGCATTATTAAAAGAAAAATGTGCAAAAATTGCAAAAAAAATATTTCCCAGATTTTATTTCATCAAATTTTGCTTAAGAAGAGCTGTACAAATCCATATATAGACATTAAAAGTATTGCAGATAGGCCCTTCATTTAGCGGAACTCTTCAACTCCAAGGAAGAACCCAGTTAAGTTGAAACTACTTTGCGTATGACCTTAAGAACAATTTGACATTCAATACTTTTGATATTGATATGAAATGAAATAATTAAGCGACTTATAAAATTGAATACACAAAATGTATATATTTTCCAATTTTTTGTGAAACAATGAATTGAATCTTTGAAATGTGATTGATTGTTCAAATTAAATTTGCATGGGTAGAAAAATTTCCGTTTTGAAAGTTAATTTTGACGCAAATTTCGCAAATTCTTAAGTGCAGTCATCCTTTTATACTACATAAAAGGAACAAATTTATCACGGTAAAGCTACTTTTAAAGAAATCCAATTTATTAAAAATATGTTGAATCCCTGTATCACAGCGTCAAACAAGAATGTTGAGGTTTTAAAAATAGGAGTAGTAGGACACACTCCATATGTCATCGCTGGAACAAAACTCTTACACACAGCATGGAGTGTAAAATTCAATACTATTGTTTTCAAATACCCAGAGCTTTCACTTATAACAATGTTATATCATTTTATTTTAGATTCCTTAAAAATGCATTACTTTTCTATTCTTAAGGACTGGAACCATTTCGATCATTCTACTTCTGCTGTGAAGTTGTGCAACATAATTCTAACAAAGTCATCCATCATGATAAATACATAATTACAAACTCATCCAAAACTTACTCGTATTTTAAAATCTGTTGACTCACGTAAGTTTTTACTAAAAACTTAGTAGCGACAATATGTTATATCTAATTTAATTTACTTCTACAGGGCAAGGCATAAGCGGGAAGTGCAGTCATGGATCTTCGAACGATGACAGTCGCTTTATGACGGCAACCGGTGGAATTTACAAAGGAAGATCTGTTCAGAGCGAAGCTCCCCGCAGTATCCTGCATGCAGCCGCGTCGGAAGCCGCCATTAACGCTTCACAGTACTTTCTTATCGGCCAAAGTGAGTTTTAACGAGGCCGAGTCTAATTATTTCTACCCTTTTTGATAATTTTTGATCAATAATTTTTACTGTTATATTTATTGTTTTAAGATTAAAAAAATCAAATGTTTACCATCCAATTTTCCTAGGGGGCCACCTCAAAAGTTTTTTCTCCATATTTCTTGTATTTCTGCCCTAGAAATTTCTTTTTCATTCCATTATATGAAAGTTATTCGAAAAAGTTATCAAATTGTGAAATTTCAACAACAAAAAAATCACCATCTAGATTGGTCTAGGAATTAATTATTATGTTTATTTTTTCAAAGCCAAATACCTCGAAAATTGCCATATTGCGGTATAAATGAATATCAGTGCAGATGATTAGATTGCTATTATGTTTCTTTGAAATTCTGACATATGTTTTTAGTATAATTTCCTTGGACGCCTTGAACATACAAGCGAGTCATGCATCATTCTTCAGCATCATGCATTGTTTAGAAAATCCAAAAATGGTGACGTCTTTAGAGCCATTTCATAGTTTTTTCCTAATTATCGCCGTAAAATCGCATTTTTAGACCAGTAGGGGTACAGATAATGTTAATTTTGTATTAATATGAAAATATTTGGCAAAGGCTTACTGTCGCAAGAATGTCTGCTTGAAATTAAAAAGCTGAGCAAAGCCATGCGCACTCGAATTAGACTCGGCCTCGTTAAGTGTATTTGTCAATGAACAATAAAAAGTGGAAGATAAGCCAGAGTAACTGCTTTCATGAAAACGAAAACTAAGTATATACACAGGGCATCAACCCTGGATGTTTACGAGGTGGGATCAGGTGTCTTGGAGAACTAAGAATCTCCAAGCGACTAGCACACCGTGCGCCGTTATTGATAATATGCAACTGTACAGGTCACAAACTAAAATAATTTTCCCACATTTTTTATATTTTAATTTTAAAAAGATCAAATGTTTTACACACAATTTTAGGAGGAGGACTTTTAAGTCTCATGGGTGAGGAAGTCTTCCGAGATGTTTTTGGTTTACGGACCAGGGAAGATATAGTCAAAACGTCCTTGACCTTTGTTATTGACGTCACAGGTTCCATGGGGGATGAAATTGCAGCGCTGATAAAAGTCACTCAGAAAATCGTGTATGAGGCAAACGACTCGCAGTCTGTGCCAGAAAATTATATTCTCGTTACGTTTTCGGATCCTGGTTGGTATAAACATGAGATATAGAAATAATAATTATATTATTTTAAGGAAAAGACTTTCAGAGCAATTAAATCAATAAATAAAGTTTCTCGAGGAAGTTAAAATGAACGAGTTGTGTGGTTTTTTTTTTTTTTATCTCCGAGCCTTTGCAATGATGTAATTTACGCATGAGAGATAGATGAAGTTTTTACATTGACAATGATTGTGATTAAAATTTAAAGCATCGCTGACTACCGGAAGACAAACCAATGACCCAGAGGTCATGCTAAAATGGCTTAAGAATCTTGGGGTAACGGGAGGTGGCGACTGCCCGGAATATGCTATGACTGGAATGTTGAAAGGCAAGATGTTGATGCATGTTCATTTTGTAAGACTCTGCTTGCTACTGCAACTGTCACTTATGTTCGACGGAAGATTTCATACCATATGTATACCCGTAGGATTCAAATTAATTGAGATATATTGATGTCTCAATTTAACACTCTTTTAAAATTGATTTTGAGATTAAATGCAATTAGAAATATCTGCTTTGTATGAAGGAAATATCAATATTTTCGGCAATAAATAATTACAAATATACAAATGTATGTATGTATTAAAAACCCTTTCGTATCTAAACAGTTTGTTTACGGATTGAAAAAAGTCATATTTTTATAGGAATCGAAATGTCCAACGCAAATTCGAAAATTTACCTTTGTACTGACGCTGACGCAAAAGACGAGTATTTACAGAACCAAGTGAACGAGGGGTTGAGGGCGAAATATCTCACACCAGTGTTCCTCCTTACCGGACAATGCTCTTTGAGGAGGAAAAGAGACATAATTGGTAAGCCGAAAGCTATGAGTAAATGCTGTATGATTTTCTAAAATGTGTAAATTATATAGAGAATAATACATACCCTTTTCCATATCACATCCTGTATCAGCCCGAGACACCAATATCAGCCAGAGGGCCGAAGGCCCGAGGGCTGATATTGGTCGAGGGCTGATACAGGATGTGATGTGGAAAAGGGTATGTTTTATTATATTTATTACATACTTAGTAATAAAATACAGAACACATTAAGTTGAGAAGAAAATAAGTAAATAATCATGCATGGACTTCTTACAGAAATATATATAATCTATTGTCTCATACGATTTGAGTTTGTTTCTACTTCTATTTCAATGCACTCGATCCGTAATTTAAAACAATCTATTACATGTATTTGTAAATTAAGATTAACCTTATTTTCAAAAAGTTAATATTAAGAGAACATGAACCCACCAAAAATTGTGTACGATCACAAGTACTGTTTTTGTGGTTTAATTTACTAAGGATGTGATATTGACGTCACAATAGCCGTATCAGCCCTGCAGGGCAGGGCTGATATAGGTTATCAGTCCCGCAAATCCATATCAGCCCTGCAGGGCTGATACGGCTATTGTGACATCAGCCATATCGCATATGCAAAAAACCTGTATTTATTACTAAGTGTGTAATAAATAGGGAATAATACATACCCTTTTCAATATCACATCCTGTATCAGCCCGAGACACCAATATCAGCCAGAGGGCCGAAGAGTATGTATTAATATGTTTATTACATACATCTACTTACTTATAAAATACAGCATACATTAAGTTGAGAAGAAATTAAGTAAATAATCATGCATGGACTTCTTACATACATGTACATGGTCTATTGTCTCATATGATTTGAGTTTGTTTCTACTTCTATTTAAATGCACCCGATCCATAATTTATAAATAATCTATTGTTTGTAAATTAAGATTAACCTTGTTTTCAAAACGTTAAAATTAAGAGAATATGAACCTAACAAAAGTTGTGTATGATCAATGATACGGCTATTGTGACGTCAGGCATATCGCATATGCAAAAATCCAGCTGTATTTATTACTAATTGTGTAATAAAAAGGCATACATGTATGACCATAGGTGAATAAAATATTTGGATAACGAACAGTATTCCAGCTCAAAAATCCATTGAGAAATACAAAATTGGATCAGAGTAACACGGACCTCCAAATCTCATAGAAGGGATGCAGTGCCATAAGGAGTTAATATCACCTGGATGTATTCACGTGGATGTTTTATTCAAAGTTATTATAGATTTCAACTTAAATCTAAATTTATATTTTAAAAATATATTTTCTTGATCTAGAACAGTCCCAGATACCACAAACTATGCTACCGTTTGAAAACAAGCTTCTCCATCGAGTGAAAAGATCGAGTCTGCAGTTGTTTGAGGCGATAGCAAAGGCAACTGGAGGAAGGATATATGAATTAAATGTGACACAACTGGAGACAATAGTGGAAAAAGAGATCAAGGTTTGTTTTAATATTTACAGTAGCGTTAACTAGAAATCTTAATTTTTATTCAGTTGGCCTTAAGAACCCTCTCTAAACTGCACCTTAAAGAGTTCTGAGTTTATGGTAGTTTTCTGCATTTAGGGTGATCTGCCCTTGCATAAATTTTTTTTAAATTGGCAATTTACAGCATACTACTTAATTCGTAATCAATTCAAGTATTGTTAACATCTGAAAAGTCCAAGATAATTTAATTGGAAATATTTGTATTTATTTTCTCCATAGAAGTAAACAACAGTGATTTCTATTCACTGATACTGTGTGCCCATTTTCCTGGGGGTAAATGTCACATACCATATAGTGAAAATGAAATAGATAAGCTCAATATCATCAACTTTATGTAATTTATTGTTCTTAATGTCCAAAAGCATTTTGCGCTGGTGTAAAGAGGGTCATGGAAACACATGTAATTACCAGAAAGATATTACCAACAAAATATTATAATCACGATTGACATCATGGCTTTTTACAAGACAACAATTATAAATACCACATTTTGGGATAATTTGTACATCAAAAATAACAGTTAATCAGTCTTATCAATGGTCAAGTACTTTCTAATTATCGTAACTGTAAAATAAGAGTATAAAGATAGATTGTTCAATACAATACTTCTAATTCTATTTTAAATTTCTATGAAATGTCTTTCTGACATGTTTGTATTTGCAGGATACTTTTCCGTCATCCAATGTCTTTATCACGTGGTTTTTGAAACTTGCCAATTCCGCACCAGTTATGTTTATTCCTGTCGACAATCACATGGAAACACTAAAGATAGTTGCTAGGATAGTCACAAGCCAGTTTGAATTTACTCTTTCTTATCCAAACGGTCTGTTTAATTTTTGAATTTTGAAAACATAATATCAAAGTAGTTAAAAGTTTTCAACCTATAAAAATGTCCGCGTTTGAACAATGTTAAAGCTTACATTTTAAAACAATTTTTTGCAAAATTTTTCAGGTACAAATGTTCTGTTTTCATCTGAAAAGGAACTGCAAAATATTTCAGACAGCACTTTAACAATAAAAATCAAGGTAAATTTAAATGTCACCACCTCTCGTTTTTACCCTTTACTCGTATGAATATAGATTTTGTATCCATGGGAGCAAGAAAATTTATCAAAGAAATCATGTTTATTCTTTAAAAAACATAATCATAATATAAATTACATCACCGAAAAAATTTACAAGAATGTGGTTAAAAACTGCTGAAAATTTTGCAATTAATACATTATCAAAAGGATCCAGGTCCTGGGATTTGGAAGTTCGAGAAGAATACATTAAGTGCATGGATAGTAAACGTTACAGCCCAAAGCCCAGTGGATTTCTCTACCATCATTTTGGAACCCAGTGCTGATGGCAATTTTTACCAGTTGTCCGGAAATCCAATCAAAGGTTTGTAATCAGATATTTACAATATCTACAATATTTACAATACAATATATTATCTTTATTTTTGGATGATAGGTATTCTATAGAGGCGAGTGAAATTTTTACGAACAGTGGTTATTGCTCTATATAATATAAAGGAATACTTACACGTATATACGTGAGGCTCAAAGTTTTGCGAGCAGATTGTTTCGCATAATTACGAGAAAATAAATTTCCTCCAAATAAAAAGTGATTTACAGTAATCATTTGATGTTAATGCCACAGTCGCTCTATAGTGATAGATTCTAATACTTAATTTTCAGGATACAACTATAAATTGGTGGTTGATATTAAGAATTTGGACTTGAATTCCTCTTGTACAAGTGTCGGTCTTTTGGATAGTAATGAGACTGAAGTGGCAGACGTTCCAGTAAAAAGAGTGGACATTGCGGGTATAACTCGTTGCATTGGAGAGTTTGTTCCTCTCAATAAGGTATAAACTACACAGATAAAAGCAGTCTTATAAATAAATTTCAATTAAATAGGCAAGAAATGATATTGTCTCGTTATATTTGATTTCACAAAGTCTTTAAAAGAAAATTTACGCAGGTAATGAAGGTTAAGTTACAGGCAATAATATTAAATTTATTTTATAGTCAAGTTACGCACAACTTAGAGGAACGGATTCACTAGGTTATGAGTTCCTAAGGACGCGCATGTTTTCTATACTACCAGCCTCCGTGCACCTGCGTGTTTATCCTATTCTCGGTGAGTAAATTTCAAAAGCAATAGCTCTATTGCATAAAACTGATTACAAAATACAAAATAAAAATATAACATTGATAAAAAATGTTAAACATCGTATCTAAGAATTTGTGGCCGTTAGTCTTTTATAAAACAGAATTTATTTTCTGAGATTGAAGGATACATAAATGTTGATTAAAAAAATGACAAAAAATATGTCATCATTTTACACATTGCTGAGCAATTTACATCCGATTAGTAAATGAATATGTTACAATTTAATTCATGTTACTTTTCAGGACAGTTACGTTTAAATGGAAGTACTAATATAACCTTTACCCTTACAAACACTGGAGATTCTACTGTGATTTTCATGATCACTGTATCTAATGGTAAAACCAATATCACGGTACAACCAGGGAATCTTAGTGCTGGAGAAAAATACAGTGCTATTGTCATGGTAACACCAGATTCATTGCAGCCTGTGTGAGTATAATTAAATCTATGATTTATAATACACTGTTTATATATTTATATTAAAATATTTCAAATTAATGAAAAGAAAAGTACAAATCAATTCATCGCCTGCACTAAATTCATAAATCCAGTCACATTTTAAAATTTTTCTTTTTTAAAACATTTCTCAAACCAGTAAATTTAATATTTTAGTAATATTTTCCCATTCTTGTCATGCATTATCTGTATATTGATATTTCGTTTTATGATACATTTATTGACGTCTGAAAAAATCATTAAAAATTTATAATCTAAATCATTTCTACGTACCTTGAAACAAATAGAGTGTTGATATGGACCGTTACTCTGGAAAACTACACTGGGATTATCCAAACAGAAAAGAGGCGCTATTCCGTGAGTACAGTTGTGATTTCAGGGAGGAATGAAATTGAAAGCTAGGAAAATGTAGGAAAATGAAGAAGAATGCAACAAATACTTATAATCTCTTTTAATAAATTATTCTAACAGAGAGATTAAAACCATGTTAAAAAAATTTAATAGACTCAAAATCAAACCAGGTAACATAAATAAGCAAAATAATTTTTTAAAATTGTAAATGCAAGGAAAAGGCAATTATTCGTCAATGATAGTCAATTTCCTTAAAGTGACTAGTCAAACTAAAATATAAAAATTAGAGAATCGAAAGTTTATATGTTGAATGATGTGAGCAGTGCTAACAGGTAGAATGAATATCTTATGACTACTGTATCTCAATCATAATGAAAAATGCATTCTTATTTTAAGTAATTTTATATGAGTTCGATTAAACTAAGAAAATTTCTAAAAAAAAAAAAAAGATACAGTTTGCTTCCACTGATAAGGTCGGTTAGATCCATTTTGTACATTTACGTCTTCCCATCTACCCGTGTTGGCATTAAGGTTGTCTGAATAAATAAAACCCACTTAAAGCCCTGTCGATAACACATATCCAGCATGATGCTACAGTAGGCCGTCCGACGAGATTGTCAACGTCCTATCTAAATAAATCCCCCACGAAACATCTTCATATCTGTGAACACAACCTTTAAAAAGTGGTCTAGTTTAGGGATTGTTTCTTATTTTGGTATATTCGAACCTAGGTAAACTTAAAAACCATATATGCATGCATTGTTTCATTGAAATTTTCAAATCATATTGATTTTAGCACTCGATCCTACCTTAGAGGGATGCGTTTTCCCTTCTCCAAATGAATATTATTTCAATGGACTTTTGAGCTTATTTACTATATGTGTTTGCCACATTTCACTTCTTCCGGCTACCTAGCGTATCTGGAAAGTGAAAGAATTCTTGTCTTTCTGAAGGTGGCAGATAGGGTAACAGCAGACTGTACAGTGCTAAAATACCCAGACAGATGTCCCGTGCAGTCCCTCAACACTGGGAACTGTTCCTCCTACAGGTGGACAGGACTGGTCGAGGTGTCATCAGCAACTATATGGCTATCAGAGATCAGCGTATCCAGTGAAGTAATCCTGGAACATATAGACATATCAAAGGCACGCTTCTCCGTACCTATAAAAATAAGGTAAAAAATACACATTTAAAAATAAAATAGAGAGAAAGAAAGAGAGAGCAGCGCACAGTTGACAACACTTTTTTTGTGTAGAGAAGATGCAAAGTACTCTAATCAGTTCAAATGAGCAAGATTAAATTTTGTCCACGTTTCTAAAAAAAGTCAAAATTAATAGAAGGATGGAAAAGTTTTCTTAACATAAATATTGATTATAAAAGCTTTCATATTTTTTTCAGTGGCGCTTGTTGTATCCAAGCAGTTGTTCTTACCATTACGGACAACGATGGTAAATTCGATCAATGTAATTTTATCCTCTCCAAACAACCTCTTCTTGTTGTTCAAGATACACCAACACAAGGCCTAGGTACAACTTAAAAACGGATAGTGTCCGTTGTTTTGTTAATATTTTTTATTTTGCTCAAAACGATAAAAAGATCTAAAACAAATTAATATTACATATTAGACAATATAAAGTCGATACAATTCTAAAAAAAAAACCAATGAAGACGAGCTCGTTATCATTTTTGGCTTCCCGGACAAAATTCGGCAAGTCATTTGAATTTTTCGTGACCTTTCGCGTGATCCAACCCGTTTAATCCATTGCACATACCATTTTCGGCTGGGGATGAAAATATGTCTGATGTGGCCTGCGCCAGTGAACGAGATAGAAAACGAATTTTAACAGACTCTGGACGATAGAGAAGGAAAACGAAAGAAATGCTGAAATCAACAAATCCAGAATAATTCCAGCGCTGGAATAGTTTAAAAACGGCACTGAAACTTCAAACGCATGCTGAAGTAGGCAAAAATCTATCTTGATAGGTAGGCCTAAATCAACATTTTTATTTGGTATATAAAAACTTTTATCTGTAGGGAAATAATGTATTGCAGGGTTTACCAAAGTCTAGTGATCATTATGGCACCTGTAATTTTTTTTTTTGATTTTGCGAACTTAAAACAAAAACAACGTGCATTACTCCTACTGTTTTTAGGCACCCGGTGTCGTGGGGCCTCCAACGGGGTTTTAAAAAATATTAATGTTTTTAAGTTTTTGTTTTCAACGTTCATAAAGGTATTTTGTATGGTTATGGTTATTGTTTTTAAAAATATGAAAGTAATTTTTATCCTAAGAGTAGCGAAAGATAAGTATAATGAGAATGGCTTTGTAGCACCTAAAGTCAAGAAACACACCATGACCTCAACACCAGGACCATGTGCTTCAACTCCTGCAAACTATCAGATATCAGGAACATGAGAAGTTTTGTCAACAGAGCCATGTGATAAGTATGAAATAACTCATAACCACAAGTAACTGTAAGTTTTGTACATTTGCAGTGTTTTCAATAAGATTGTAAATATACAGAAATATATTGGAATAGTAGGAAACCATTAATTCTTTAAATTTTACTTTTGCAAACTGTAGCTGTAGCCTTAGCTGCAATAATATAGCCCTCTCCAATATTTTTAACCTGGTATTTTTCTGGAGAGCCCAGCTACAATTCCACAGCATCTCCGTAATGGTGCAAACATATATTTTTAAATACGAGAGACTGTAGGCAAAATTAATTGTTTTAACATTCAACATGTTCAACTTACTTTTAATAAGACGAAATTTTTATTAACTTTCAACAACCTAGCCTGCTAAATGCGAAGACCAAGTAAAATAAATCTCCATGTATACCAGTCGCTCTCATCAGAAGCCATGGCAGTTCTCAACTGATGTACTGGGACTTACTTTTGAAATTTAGTATAATCTAATAAAGCAAATATTAATGTTAATAAATGATTGTGCTGTATTGTCTCACTTCACATGGATAACTAAATACCATTCTATTCAAAATTTTTGTAAGTAGCAAATATATGCTTGAGATAAAGGAAATTCCTATATAGGTCCGCTCCCTAAGACCCCAAGCTCTCATTGGCTGTCGGAAAGTAAAATCTGTAAAGGTAGGTAACATGGTACAAAAATTCAAGTTGTGATATTTACATACATATATATGGATTGTTCTGCAAATTTTTGGATCGTTTTATAACATGCATAACTACGTTTCAATTATATTACGTATTAATATTTTTACTTTGTATTATTAATCAGGGTGGTCTCTAACAATTCAAATTATAGTAGGTGACATTAAAATGTAAAAGGGGGTCTGAGCTTTCTACCTTAACAAGGGTTTGAGAGGGATATCAGAATAACTGGGAGGTTATGTCCTTATTGGCGGGAAAATTCCCCGGCTCTCATGTCTTACTTTAGTAATGATTCTTTTCTGATTTTAAACGGAATTGGTACTTTCTTATTTTGATCAATACGTGTCCGTTTCTGTCCGGGAAGTTTGTTCAAATTGTTTACTCCGTGTTTTGTTCTACATGTACTTTGCATCATCCAGATATTTGGTTTAATCTCCAAGTGAGGTAAACACAAACGTGTGGATGATTCAGACTTCATTACAATGGGGTGGTGATAAATTCAGCCAGGCCAGGGTGTAACAGTTGTTGAAAGAGCTGTCAAACTTAAATATTTTTCACTCATTTAAACCCATTTAGGGCTCCCCAAAGCCCTTATTCTGGCACCCCAAAATATTTTTGATATTTTGGCCAATTCACAAAATCATCACTGCTTATGGGCGACCCCTGTTACTGTAAAAGGAAATTTACATCAGCAGCCAAGTTAACACCAAAATAATTGACTGTTACAGTGTATTTAATCTTACCTTACACATTATTAGGATCTTTATTAAATTACCTTGATTTTTTCAGATGTTGTTAATATTTCAGTGATGAAGAAATTTCAGGTGTCGAAACATTGTGCAAAAAGAATCGGATGGCAAAAAGGAACAAAGTCCAACAGTTTTTAAAATCATTTTGAGTAAATTATTTATCAATGCTCAATGTTAAAACTCATTGCATAACGCAAGTATCAAAACTAATAAATTGATGAAGAGGTAGCGGGGAGGGAATTTGTTGTCAAATCATAAAGTCTCTGACTCTATACTTTAAGTACCAGTAATGATTTACATGTAAAGAAAATGGAATATTACGATATAGTCAACTACACGGGCCTCTGTTATTTGCAGACTTTTAGTCATAGACATGTTAGTGACCAAGACTTGTGACTCAGAAAATGAAACGAGATGAGGAGTATGAACCCAGCTTTAGAATAACACTAAGGTACTTACTCAAACTAATTTTAATAAAACCTTTTTGATTATCTACATCTTGAAGCAGTTCAAATTTTCATCCATTATCTTATATTATTAAATGAGAACTTTTAGACCAAGTACTATAGAATTTAACAGGGCAACAAATTTTGATCATCTTTCTGATGTAGGTGATAGTGATGAAGATGAGTTCATGGATGATGAGACGAATCTGGACCCTGGCCTTATCAGAAAAGCAAATCAGAATTACAAAAACCTTACGTCGGACCAGCCTTTCTTGGTGTACCAGCAATGTCTTATGCAACTGGTATCTCTTATCAGAATGAAAAGCATTGGCTTGGGCAAAGGACATAATTAACCATTTCTGGTACACTGCAAGCATCAGCGATATATATGAGGATTTTGTTTAATTTTGAGAAGCTATATCTTCAAAGAAAAAAAAAATAGATTTGCGATGAAATTTTATATCTTAACTCCTTTTAATTGCCTAAAGAGGGCTTATTGATGATAAGGTCAAAAGGTCAAAGAACAAGTTCAGAAATTATATGTATTACATACAAAGTTGAAGTTCTGTGTAACGTTCTGCAATGAATTTCAATAATTTAAAAAAAACAAACATATTAAAACTAAACTTTACAGGCCAAAAGCTGAAAAGTCAGGACTGATTTTTAATATAAATTCTCCATTTGCAATTTTTTTTAGTTTTTCCACCCTCTTTCTTTTTTTTCTCTCGGTGAAGGACACCAGATCTCTGATTTAGCTTATTAATTGTTTTAAAGTGTCTTATCTTGATCAAGTTTTATTAATGACAGGGAGTGATTTAATTTAAGGTCAGACGAGACGTTCCTCAATATCTGTTTTGTATATCTTCGTAATGTATGAAAAATATTCAAATTTTTAATATCATTCTGAATTCTAAACCAGTTTCTAAACGTTTTTAAAGAATCCAACCACTTAAACATTTGAAAATGGAAAATTACTTTTCTTCCCGAAAGGATTATATAAGGAAAACTATCCCTGGTATCTTGCAGAAATGCCTGGTAAGGTACCTTAAATTTGTGTGAGTAAACATGTTTAAGTAACAATACTTCAATGACAAAATCTTTGAAAAAATTATCTATTATTAAGGAACGTCTCGTCTGTCCTTAAGGGAGTTTGGTTTGGAATTCTCCACCATGTTTGAGATGAATACCATTGGATCCTTCCATCCAGTGAAAATGCTTCAAATTGCTGCAACCATTGTCCACTGACAGAAGAGAGGACCAAGGGATGGCTCAAGAAAGGCTCGCCAGCTCACGAGGCATTGAGATATGTTGTCATGGACAAACAGAGATTGAATCAAGTTCACTACTATTTGAATTGCAGGTTTTTAAATTTTATGGATTTCATTAGAAGAACAATATAATACATTATTTAGACAGGGGAAAAAAAATAAACAAAGATGGAAGTATAAGGTAGACACTCCTAAAGTCTACATATTGAAAGTTTATATTATTTAAATACTTATATGAGGTTTCTCCCAAATTTCCTGCGACAAATATTGTTTTGTAGTAACCCCATCTCACAAATCAATTAATTTTACATGAAACCAAGAAAACAAAGGTAATTATTAATGTTCTTATTACAAAGTGTGATCAAGGAGTATAAGGTCTGAAATCCAAATTATTTAAAATACTGGTCATTAGTTTTAAAAAATGAAACATACCAACAAATCTTCCAAACAAGACCAATGAATGCATATGCTATTAAAACATTACAGTATTGGTGATTTGCTCACAAAAGCTTTTTTTGCCACAATAGAAAATATGATTGGATCACCGAGGAAGGTGGAACCATGGGTTAGATTTTTGAGTGAGAATTGTATGAAAAGTTAGAATTGTACGACTGATGGTTGTTGCCTATATGCTCATACAAATTTTAGGACAAACCTCATATATTGTAGAAAAGGTGTATTTTGTACTTCTCTTTACTTGGTATCAAAGATCTTGTACTCCATTTTACTAGGTATCAAAGATCTTTCAACAAGAAGAGCGGCATATGGTCTGTTCATGAGGTTAAAATGGAAAAGTTATTTCCATACATTCCAGCCTCGGTAGACAAAATTGAAGAGAGCAGATTGAATGATGATGAGGGGATGACAGGGAATGTCGATTTGGACCCAGAGGACCCTAGGAGAATTTCTAGAATTCTGGTTTCTATTCCACCACCTCCAACTCAACAACTTGTTCTAGAGAGAAAATCAAGATTTCAAGACCAAGACAAAACTTTGGATTATATATGGGATAATTAACTTCTTTTTCTAAATTTGACATTGCGTCCGAATAAATTTTCCACAACTTTGTAGCTTTAGTGGGCTAGTTCATATAGTATACGTTTTCCGGATCAGATGTTGCTTGTCAACTGTCTGTCTGTTAAGTTGACATGTCACTCATCTGAATTACAATACAGAATATATTGTTTATAACTTAACCTTTTTACTCACAATATTTGGGTCAGGGCAACCATTTTTTAACAAAGATTCACTGGATGTGTCATTTTTCTTGAACCAAAAGCTTTTTGGGCAATCTCAGGTTGCATTTAAAAAATTTAAACGGATACTCTTAAAAATGTGGAGTTTTATGAACTTGCTCACAGTACCTCTCTTTTTTATGCACCCAGATCGATCCGGGGGATATATTGTTTTTGTCCTGTCTGTCTGTTTGTCTGCAAACTTTAACCTTTGCCTTAACTTTTGAACCATGATTGACAAAGACTTAATATTTAGTATGTATATTCCGCTTATTAAGCTCTATCAAATGACACCAAGGTCAATGACCTTGACTGTGACTTATAATATGCTTAAAATAGCTTTTTCATACCTTCGCCATATTAACTTTTAAACCATTGAAGATAGAGACTTCATATTTGATATGCACACTCCACTAATTAAGCTTTTTTAAATGACTTCAAGGTCCATGACTGTGACCTTGACCTGTATGCTAAAAATAGCTTTTTCGTACCTTCGCCATAACTTTGAAAGCATGGGAAATAGAGACTGCATATTTAGATTGGATTGCATACTCCACTAATCAATTTCTTTCAAATGACACCAAGGTCAATGATCTTGTGACCTTGACTGTGACCTATATGCTAAAATAGCTTTTTTGAACTTTATTGCATAGTGTTTCACGAACATTATTTGTTTCTTTTTATTTTTCTTGATATAATAAAAAAGTGAAATAGAATGTTGTTATTTTTTAATTATGCTTATCTACCATGCACAAAACCGTATTGTCCAAAAGGATCAGGGAACTTGTCCCTGATCCTCAACACACAGCAGTTGGGAATTATACGGCGATTACCAGCCTCGGACTTCCCATGCTGCTACATATCTGCTGATAAACTATCTGTATGCAGCAACGCGATTTGCCCGGCACCAGTCCCAATCATTTGGCATTGCCAAGACATCCTGCTTGTATGTTCTTGCTACATGTAGTATTAATTCGTCCAGAACAACCAGGTCAAAATCCTGGAATAAGTAAACAATTTGTGAACTGGCAATCTGAAAGGATAAAAAAGTGTTGCCTTAAATACACTGTTAACAACTTGGAAAACAGTATTTACTAACTCTAATTCTTGAAAAACAATTCTCTAAAACTTGACCGCAGCATAAATGTTCATCTGCTGTAGGCATGTCTCTACAATTTGAGCATACACATCATTCAGGAGACCCATTCTCTGGAAGAGGGTGAAATCCACCCTATTGTGCTCTACTTCCTGCAGCAAGGATATCGAAGACAAAAGAGGTTGCCTTCCACAAATGTACGAAGTAATCCCCTCACATTCTCTTCAGGGAAATTATCTAATATGCTTTCCTGTTTAAAAAGATCTAAGTACGTATAGTTTACAGAAAAATCTTAGATTTCTATTATTTATATTACATGAGAATAAAGATATTGTGAAAAAAATCCTTTGCAAAAAAATAACATCTTTATGAAGCAAAGAAATAATTGTAATTTTGTTTTTATCTTGGTCATATATTTTTGTTAAGGTCTACAATTTTCCTTATAATTAAATGTAATATACTAGTGCAAAGTATATTCATAAAAATCTTTTATATTCCTTACCTGTATATTTGTTGTTCTTTCCGCTCTTACTGTTGTGGCATTATCGGCTCTGTTCCGTTGTCTCTGACCACCTCTGCTCATTGTTGGTCTCCTTCTACTAGGCCTATTTCTAGCTCTGATCCATCAGACTCTCCTGCCACTCTGATCCCGTCCTCCATTAGAGTTAAGGCGATGCACTTTGGTGCATTTCGTCTTCGGAAGTCTAAATAATTGTATCAAAATATTCGTTATTTCTCGGCCTGATTATTGAGAGGTAGATTTGGTGAAGGTGATCTATGTAATACGATATTACGTAGGCCTAATATAACAACTGGCCGTCATTTTTATTTTTATTAAATCTATAAAAATTTGACCAAGATCACTCCTTCACCCTCTGCCACTTACGAGAGTGTATTTCATCATTACAACAAAGATCAGACTAGTCCTTAGCGTGCGCCTATAGAGCAAGCAAGTTCTGTGTACAATAAAACTTTTTTCCTCTTCGGGGGCCTCGTAGCAGAAAGATGAAGAGTAGGGGCAGTGTTTACGCTTGTTCTTTGATTTTTTTGGTAAAAAAGTGAAAAGGTAGCAACTATTATATATAAAGGAGTGTATTTACATATGTTTAAGTCACATTTGAACTGAAATAATGCTAAGTCTTACCTCTGTTGCATCGGTATCCATAATTTACGGTGTTGTCTTAAAGATCGGCAATCTCCGTCATCAGCAGCAAGAAATATCGCCGATGCATAATGAGACGATTTAATTAGTTTATACGTCCGGTTTTTAGAATATAAATACACGACACTTGTCAAGTAAGGTCTACAAATGAGTGTTTAAGTACAGGTCCATGTAAGAATCAGGCAGCCTATATATAAAAGGTGATACATGAGGTCACAGAAATTAATGATATTTTACTCACAGATTTTCCTCGGGGTATAAGCCATGTATGCGGAAGGAAAAATAATTTGGGTCATTGTTACTATGGAAACCTGGACAAAGAAATTTCCTTAGCAACAGGCCAATTTTTCTTTATAGATTGATGAAATTTCACCCATTTTGAAGGCTTTGTACAAAAAATTTTAAAAAGTAATAATTTTCTTCCTTAGTGTCACAAGAAAGATAAACTCTTGAAGTGCTCTGACAATGTAATAAAAAGAAATTACATTCTCTAATATATTTACTATAGATACAGCTAAAGGTACATGTTTCCCGTTTTTTGCTGATTCAGCATTTTGCTTGATTTTAGCAAAAATCAAATCGATATTATTCTTTTCACCATCCTAATACAATTGTTTCACCTATTTCCTGTAAAACTACAGGAAAGGTTTTCTTAAAATTTAAAATAAAAAGTTTTGCAAATTTGAAACCTGCTATCTGTTGCTAGGCAACAAAAATGGATGGTTTGATAAATTAAAAATGGTGAAAGTCAAGTATTGGTAGAAAAATCATATATATTGTAATCATTGAGTACCAAAAACAATTTTTAAAATAAAAAAAAACAACATTAAATATTCTTCCTTGTGTACCTATGACTATTTTAAAATAAGAAATCTCCATGGCAACAGTACATTTTCCTTAGCAACGAAGCATTTAGTTATTTTTTGAACATATTAATTAACGTTTTTAACATATTATTTGACCCTTAGAGTTGAATTGCTATTGCCCAAGTTTGGCATAGTCAGACCAGGTTTTTAAAAGAATTTTTACTTCCTTGGCAACAGTAAATTTTCCCTAGCAACGAAGCAATGAAAGTTATTTTTAGAGCATATTCATTAAAGTTTTTAACATATTATCTGATTCTTATAGATGAATTGCTATTGCCCAGGTTCGGCACTGTCAGACAAGTTTTTTTTAAAGAAATTTAAAGTTATTTTTTCCCAAGAAACAGAATTACAAGCATAGCAACTAATACTTCTAATAAAGAATTAGGATGAAGCAACTTCTCAACAAGAATCTGTCTTTAAGAACGGAAACTATAAGACAAAAACATTCTACTCATAGAATTGAAAAGTCATATACTTGACATATGATATATGCCTGTATTGTTTTTGTCCTATCTGTCTGTCTGTTTGTCTGTGTGTCTAGCTGTCTGTGTGTCTATCTGTCTGTCTTTTTAGCTCACCTGAGCCGAAGGCTCAAGTGAGCTTTTCTGATCAAACCATGACCCCCAGGGGTAGGGTGGGGCCACTATGGCCGATCAAATTTTTACATAGGAATATGTAGGGAAAATCTTTAAAAATCTTCTTCTCAAGAACCACTGGGTCAGAAAAAAATGACACTCATGTGAAATTATCTCCAGGGAGTGTAGATTCAAGTTTGTAAAAATCATGACCTTTGAGGGTAGGATAGGGCAACATTATGGCCAATCAAATTTTACATAGGGATATATAAGAAAAATCTTGTAAAATCTTCTTCTCAAGGACCACTGGGCCAGGAAAGATGAAACCCATGTGAATTCATCCTCAGGTAGTGTAGATTCAAGTTTGTTCAAAGCATGACCCAACGGGGGGGGGGGGGGGAATGGCTGATCCAACTTTAACATAGGAATATATAAGAGAAATATTTAAAGATTTTCTTCTCAAGAACCACTGGGCCAGGAAAGATGAAACTCATGTGAAATGATCCTCAGGTAGTGTAGATTCAAGTTTGTGCAAATCATGAACCCCGGGGGTAGGGTGGGGCCAAAATGGCTGTAAAAATGTTTTACATAGGGAAATCATTTAAAATCGTCTTCTCAAGTACTTCAAAGCCATGATTAGTGATATTCATGTGGAAACATCCTCAGGTGGAGTAGATTCTAGTTTGTTCAAATCATAACCCTCCGGGGATAAGGTGGGGCCATAATGGGAGATCCAATTTTTACATTTAAATATGTTTACAGAAATCTTCCTCAAAAGAATAGCAATACCATGATTAGTGATACAGTACTAGTTTTCATATGGAAGCATTTTCGGGTAGTGTAGAATTAAATTTGTTCAAATCATAACCCCCAAGGGTAGGGTGGGGCCACAATAGTGGATCAAAGTTTCACATAGAAAAATATAGTAAAAAATCCCAAATACAGAAAAACTATGTTTAGTCATATTGACATGTAAGCATCCTCATGTATTGAAGATTTAAATTTATTCAAATCGTGGCCCTTTGGGGTAAGGAGGGAAACAATGGAGAATCAAATTCAAATTATTATGAAGTTAAATATAGGAAGAAAATGTTTTTAAAAAATCTTTGTATCAAGAACAGTCATATGCTGTGTTAATATTAAAGCATTCTCGAGTAGTATTAAAATTTAACCCCCCCTTTCAGTAAACTTTCACGATTTGTGCTTTTTCCTAGCCAATATGCTCAGGTCAGCGATGTGGCCCCTGGGCCTCTTGTCTGTTTGTCTTTTTGTCTGCAAACTTTAACCTTTGCTATAACTTTTGAACCACAAAAGATACAATTTCATATTTGGTATACATACTTCATTATTGAAGTTCTTTCAAATGACACCAAGGTCAATGACCTTGTGACCTTGACTGTAACCTATATGCTAAAAATATTTTTTCATGCTAACTTTAACTTCGCCCTAACTTTTGAACCATGAAAGTAAGAGACTTCATAATCAGTATTTATACTCTACTAATTATGCTCTTTCCATTAATACCAAGGTCAATGACCTTTTGACCTTGACTGTGACTTTTTTTAAAATCTTCATCATAACTTTTGAACCATGACAGATATAGTCTTCGTATCTGGTATGCATATTACGATAACTCCATTAATCAAGTTCTTTCAAATGATACCAAGGTCACTGATGTCGTGACCTTAGACTGTGACCTATATGCTTAAATTAGCTTTCTTCGAACTTTGTTGCCGCCGAACGCATAGTGTTTATAGTATTTCACAAACACATCTTGTTCTTTTTCACAAAATAAATCAATGACCTACTTTTCATTCTAGTGGCATATTGAGACTCGAAAGTCTTCAAATTATATTGCAAATTTCTAAAAAATTTGACAAATATCTGCAAAAAAAACTAGATTGTCTAATTTATGACAAATTTAGAAAATACAGTAATCTCATTAAAAAAATATTGACTTTTGTTGAGGTCAACGTGTGACAATGCAGACCTGATGAGGTTTTAATTGACCAAGGCCAAAGGCCGATGTTTATCAGTTCCTGTACATGCTCTTGTATACAAGTCAAAAACTGTTTTTAAAAATATTAGGATTTTTTTTTTATTTTACATTTTTCGGATTCCTTTTTTTTCTCCTTCAAATATATGAATACCCATGATATACTTAGTAATTTGTTTGTATTGAGATATAATTATATTTCATTGTCCATTATTTATACACTGAATTGACGACGGATTTTCCCATTATTTCCTGGTCATGACAAGGAGCACACGCTGGGTGTGACCAGTCGGCAGGGGATGCTCACTCCTCCATGACACCTGATCCCACCTCTGAGATTTCAGAGGTCAGTGTTTGCTCTGCTCCTATTTTGTATTGTTTTATGGACTTTTATATTGAATACTTTTCGTTATCTCCTTATCCTTCTTTAATGGGGTAAGTAACCAGTATTTCATTATGTAAGGAATTAGTATAATAGCTACCAAAATTATACTTAATAGCCTGGGTGAGGACATTTTACGCTTTATAAATCGCAAAGCTGTTAATAAAAAAGAGTTATCTGTTCCAATCCGGGTTATAAACAGTACACCTTGGACAGCTATTAAATTAATTCCCTATAAACAATTCTTTTTTATCCAATCAAATGACATTTTACAGCCAGAATAAATTAATACAAGATACCTTTATCTCGATAAAGAAATACTAATTAACTTAAGTTATTATTTATTTGTAATAACTAAAAAATAATTTCGGTATCACGAGTCTAATGAAAAAATAAAAGAAATACATGTATAATGAAAATAGTGATAGTGTTGTTTCACGAGATAAACAATAAATGTTTGTACTCAAAGCTTGCTTTATTACTCCCAGTTGGTTCAATACGCAAGAGACGGTCTAACAAACTATATCTAAAAGAAAGCAAGCTACGGATAAACAAGTTGATGAAATAAGAATGTCAACAGCCTTGCTCATTAAAAGTCATCTTTCGCAAGTTTTAAGATTTTTAAATGATGCAATTATTTTTTTTTCACGAAATCATAAGTATCTCTCCTTGAAAGAAAATGTGACAATTAATCCAAACAAATTTGAATTTGCATTACCCAAGGATACTTATTGGTAAGTTTGTTTGGCGCAGTTTATAATGACAAACAGTGACAATGACAACGACGTCAGACAGTGCACAAATTAGGATCAGAAAAGATCCTCTCAAGATTTGTCATTACAAAATTACATCACAAGACAAAATTGATTTTAAAAATTAGCCAATGACCTTGAACTAACCAAACTGATCTTGGGTCAAGGTCTTACATGTGAGTCAACAAAGCTATCACTGTATCAATAAGGAAAATCCAATGTTTAGTTTTTCTGTTACAAAGTTTTGGACCGGACAAGTGACCTTGAACATGCTGGCCTGACCTTGTGTCAAAAACATTGCACCCCTTTGGATCATAAGCAATCTCTAAACTAAGCATGAGCTTGCAGTGTTTTTCAATATCAAAGTTATAGGAAGGACACAAAGCAAAGAGATTTCTGAATAACATACACCCCAATTTCCCTCCCCTAACCCAGCCACAAACTTTTTTTTATGTGGGGAATTAAGATATTTGCTACACTTAAAAAAGGTAAAATAACCAGTTAGACTGCGCAAATTCAGTGTCACTGCAAAAATGTTATATACATATTTTTAAAAGTTTTATTTCTTAAGTGCAATATATGACCTCTTTTGACTTGTTGTTTAGGAAAATTTTCGGTAGCCATGGTAATACAAAAAAAATCAATATTATTTGTTTACACAGAAAAATATTGTGTATTCTATGCTTTTAAAATTTGATTGGTATTCAATGAATACAATTGCAAAAAAAAAATTAGATTGACTTTCGAATTCGGCTTACTTGTACCCATATTATACAGACTTTGTCCGAAACTTATTAACCTCAGCCTTAAGCCTCGGTCAATCAATACCTCACCAGGTCTGCATTGTCAAAAGTACAGAGGTAATCATCGTCAAAATAATATATAACTTTTTATAACCAGATTACTGTATTATTTAAACTTGTAGAAATTAGACTGCACAGTTTTGTTGCAGATATTAGTAATGATACAAAATTTTCAGGAATTGGCAAAAATTTGACGGCTCAAGAGTCTCAGTGACTTGCTACCACTAGCATGAAAAGTAGGTCATTGATTAACCATTTGAGAGTGATAAAAAATATATACTACAGACATAAGTCAGGTTAATTTTGTAATTGATTTTTCATTTCAATAAGTATATTGAAGAATGTTTTTTGCCTAGTTTTATTGCGAAAAGACACAGTTTTATGTTGAGGAATTGCTATATACTGATTCTATTTAAAAATATTTGTTGCTATGTGGATAACTTCTGTTGCTATGGATATATTAACTTAAAATATTTTTAAAACCTGGATTAACAATGCTGATCCTTAGCAATAGTGATTCAACTCTAAGAATCGAATGATCCTTTAAAAACATCGATAAGTATATACTAAAAATAACTTACAATGCTTCGTTGCTAAGGAAAATATACTGTTGCTATGGAGATAACTTATTGTAGAAAGAATAAAAATTCTTTTAGAAAGCTGGTCTGACAATGCCAAACCTGGGCAATAGCAATTCAAATCTAAGAATTGGATGATCCTTTAAAAACATCGATGAATATGTACTAAAAATAACTTACAATGCTTCGTTGCTATGGAAAATATACTGTTGCTATGGAGACAACTTATTGTAGAAAGAATAAAAATTCTTTTAGAAAGCTGGTCTGACAATGCCAAACCTGGGCAATAGCAATTCAAATCTAAGAATTGGATGATCCTTTAAAAACATCGATGAATATGTACTAAAAATAACTTACAATGCTTCGTTGCTATGGAAAATATACTGTTGCCATGGAGATAAATTATTGTAGAAAGAAAAAAAATTCTTTTAAAAACCTGGTCTGGCAATGCCGAACCTGGGCAATAGCAATTCAACTCTAAGAATCAAATAATATGTTAAAAACGTTAATTAATATGTTCTGAAAATTACTTTCAATGCTTCGTTGCTAAGAAAACGTTACTGTTGCCATGGAGATATCTTATTTTAAAATAGTCACAGGTACACAAGGAAGAATATTTTATGTTCTTTTTATTTTAAAAATTGTTTTTGGTACTCAATGATTACAATTTATATAATTTTTCTACCAATACTTTAGACTTTCACCATTTTTAATTTATCAAACCATCCATTTTTGTTGCCTAGCAACAGATAGTAAATTTCAAATTTGCAAAACTTTTTATTTTTAAATTTAAGAAAACCTTTCCTGCAGTTTTACGGGAAATAGATGAAACAATTGTACTAAGATGGTGAAACGAATAATATGTACTTGTTTTTTGCTAAAATCAAGCAAAATGCTGAATCAGCAAAAAACGGGAAACATGTACCTTTAGCTGTATCTATAGTAAATATATTAGAGAATGTAATTTCTTTTTATTACATTGTCAGAGCACTTCAAGAGTTTTTCTTTCTTGAGACACTAAGGAAGAAAATAATTACTTTTTAAAATTTTTTGGACAAAGCCTTCAAAATGGGTGAAATTTCATCAATCTATAAAGAAAAATTGGCCTGTTGCTAAGGAAATTTCTTTGTCCAAGTTTCCATAGTAACAATGTCCCAAATTATTTTTCCTTCCACATACATGGCTTAGACCCCGAGGGAAATCTATGAGTGAAAAATCATTCATTTCTGAGAACCTCGTGTATCACCTCCTGCCTGATTCTTACGTGGACCTGTACTTATTTTTATAAAATGGGATTCAATTAATTTGAGTTTGTGATAACAAAAACAAAAGAAAACAAAAACAAAAACGGTAATTTGAGCTTTACTATTGCTTTAATACATGTATATATCTAAAATATTCCATATCATTATTAATACGTCTGATGACTAATTGACTTTCATCTTGTCCTTAACATAAATTATTGTATTTTCCTTCTTTTCCCATCTACAAAGAAATTTATATTGATTGAATAAAAGAAGGTGCATTCTCAATTTATATGATTTAAACATCTACGAGGACAGAAACATAGAGGCTGTTTAAGATACGCATATTGAGTCACCGATCGGAAAAGGAAGTCTGTATCACTTTAAAACTACTTAAAAGAATATTATACATTATCTACTATCATTAATCTAAGTCTCGGCTCTCGCCATGTCGTCTGTCTGGCTTATTCTTCTCTTCTACTGCATCGTGTACCAAACATTGGGTTTCCCGCCAAATGATATCCCTGCTGAATCCAGAACTCAGTCGCACAATTCTATTACTTTGGAGGCCATATTTCGCACCACTGCTGTGTTTTTGGATAAATTGGGCTTAGTGAACAACACAGGACTACCTCCTGCTCAAAAAGTTCAGGCATTTTTTGGCACAGGTAATTTTTGTTCACTTGTAAAAAAAACTTCTTAGGTGGGTCATTAGATTTTATTGACTCTTTTTTCAATAATTTATAATTTTTGGATTGGTTTATGGATAAAAAATTTGTTTTTTTTTCTAAAATGGGTAATTCAAACCATATTTCTTTAAAATACAAAAAGACATTACATTATATAAAGAAAAATTACGCTTTTTAAAAAGAGTATTACAGTTTAAAATGGTTTAAAGAATACATGTACTCTACAATAAATCGATATCGTCAATCCAAGCATGTAAGAATTTCGTAGCAAATTTACCACACCTGCATTTCTTTAGATTTTGGTGTAATTCTTCGATATTTTTCAATTTAATTATGCTTTTACATCATACCAAATTTACGCTTTTGATAAATTTAAGGTTAAAGTTGTACAATTGAATTTTTGTATGCTGTCCGGTGACGATATATGCATTATGTACATTCTCTGTACTATAAGGTCTTACACAATTGTAAGGTCTAGTATATGTTATGACGGGTAGTAAAAGAGCAGTGTGTCAATCAAGGACCACAAATTAATTTATTAAACATTGAATGCAGTGTCTTTATAATTCTAAATATTGCAAGCTGATGACCAAATTACTTAATTTAGGTTAACAGCGTAGCAGAGAATTAATCCGGATGCTACACGTAGAATACCGTTTTATAAACCAATGTAATTAGGGTCTATTATTATATACACACTGGCCGTTATTTCCCGATCATGACAAGGAGCAAACGGCGGATGTGACCGTTTGGGAGGGGTTGCTTACTCCTCCATGGGAACTGATCCCACCCTTGGTTTTTCCAAGGTCCATGTTTTCTCTGCTCCGGTTTTGTATTGTTGTATGGACTTTTGAGCTTGAATAATACTAGTATTTGTTATCTCCATATTTTTCATATAAAAGTTTTTACTTCCTTCATGTTATGCAATTTTATGCAGCAATTAAAATTGCGTAGATTAGATAAAAGAAACATTAAGACATAAAAATAAGAGAAATTAATGATTTACGCCTTATTTCTACATATAGAATTCCACCAAATTACATAAATGGCTTTAAATTTCACCTCTGCAACTAAAAGGAGTAGACATGTCTGGATAATATCAAAACTTATAAAAAGAGAAAGAGCAAGAGTAAACTTTTAAAGCATCAAACATTCCATTATGCTATATAATTTAATACAAGCATTCAATTGATTGATTAGTTGTAAGAGAATGCCTCATTGTTGATTGAGAGAATATTTTTAATTCCTGGGGAAAAAAAAACGCCGAAAATTTCATGTATACTGCTGAGCTGAACCCTATCTTTTATCATTGTTTTAAATAAATAAAAATACCAATAATATAGAGACAGAAGAGACATCAATCTTAATGCTTAGATGTGACATATGTGCACATATTCTCAATATTTTAAACGTATATGTCATATAATAAATTAAAACAAAAACAAATCTGGAATTCAAACAATGTGTGTATTTGTGAAATCGTTATAATTTATTATTATACGCCCGTCTTAAGACGGGACGTATTATGTTATAGGCTTCGTGTCCGTCTGTCAGTCCGTCCGTCCGTCTGTTAGCTTTTCTCGTGTCCGGCTCATAGCTTTAATACTATAAGGCCTAGAGTTATCAAACTTTGTCAGCTGATACATCTTGGGTAGAAGGTGTGTCGCGCACAAAAAGTAGGTTGCTCTGACCTATAATTAAAAAGTTATAGCCAAATATGGAAAAATCCTGTCCGGTCCATAACTAGAAAACTATTAGACTTAGAATCATCAAACTTGCCCAGTTTATGCATCTTAGGTAGAATGTGTGCCGCGACCTATTTCAAGGTCACTGTGATCTTTAATTTAAGTGGAATTTTAAAAAAAAAGTCTTTTTTTCTATTCATTTACACATTAAAAAAAATGTAAAACTATTGCACTAACCTTATTAGAAAAATGTTAAATCAAGAAAATACTTATTTTTTTAGCATATACTTGACAGCAATCTATAACAAATATAATGTTAGAGAAATTTCTACCACTCCCATGAGTCTAATTATCAAGCACTGGTCAAGAGGAATTTTGATAACAGAAAATTGCATGTCAAATTAGAGAGAGAAATTAATGAGTTTAAGTGTGAGGAGTCGCTGTAAGAGCATCTGTGCTATCTATATCCCTTGAGTATTGGGCCAAATGGGTAAGCCTGTTGGATTGAAAATAGCTCTTGTTGGCTAGCCGAATTTGATGAGAAGTAATTAAAACTAATTTGATATTGCACATTAAACTATTTTGATATTACATAATATTATGAGCTTAAAAATTAATTTTATGGGGGTAGGGGTGGAATCTGCATGTCCATATGAATTGCATATTAACAATTAACTCTCCGACATTAAATCTAATTAAAAAAAAATCATTGATGTTTTATATGTTTTAAAAATGTTTTGTGGTAGATAGTACACATCCAATAAGCTTTTGGGAATAATGAGTAGACAAGCATCCAGTTAAAGATTAATTAATGTGTTCAATGTAGGAAGGCTAGCTGCATGTCTCTTTCATTTCTTCAGAGCATGGTCTTATCTGTATCCTTCGGGAATTAGACAGAAGAACTGTTGGTCAGTTTATATTTGATGGCCAGCCTTTTATTCCCAAAATTAATTAGGTATAGATTAAGTTGTGAAGACTAATTTGATATTGTTTAATATGATAGGCATTTGTCAAGGTATAGAAATCTATGAATGATGCAATATTTGTTATAATTAATGCCTACACCACAGGAGATGGATAAACAATTTTTTTAAGGTGTGTAAAAATCATTGAAATCTTAAAATCAAGGTTGACATGATTTTCCTCCACTTTTAACTGTTTAAGATACATTGTAATTGTAATTTTTTGATGGGCGTATCATGCTGTGGCGTGGCACTTTATTCAATATTGTTTTACACTTTTCTTTATAAACTGAATGTTTTTTAAAGTATTTGTTATATGAGAACAATTTATAACATTATTTTCTGCCTAATTATTATGCGGCTCTAATTGCAATGTTTAGTCAATTGCAATTAAGTAATTACAGTAAGCTAAGAGAATAAAGGTGAACGTATTTCAAAAGGAGTTATCACTGATGTTGTGTTTGAGAATTTTGTTATTGAGACAATATGAACTAATATTCAAAGGTCTAAAATTATGAAAAAGAAATCTTATTGCCTGTAATGTTGGGGAAAAAAATGCATTTGTAAGAGGATAGAATAGAGGAAAAGGAAGGGCGAGACAAGTGTAGTTTGTTCTTCCCGCTTGCTGTAAATAAATAACTTGTGTTTGTTGATGACGTCTTTGTACTAAATGACGCATTAGGCATCCTGGAGCAACTAATATTGTATGTTCCTTTTCTAAGAAAAAAGCTCCAGCTGCATTCTTCATTTTTTTTTCAATCCTTAAATTGGCTTTAATTATATTTATGAAATCAAAATTAAGTTAAAATATTTTCTATAATGCATTTATTTTCATATACTAAGAAGTCTTCCAAAGCCATATAATTCACATCCGGAATTTAGGACAATTGGAAAAATTTAAAAGTCTGTCGCAGGCAGTCACAACTGATGACATCGAATAGATATGAGAAAAAAATTGGAGCACATTATTAATAACCGACCACTAGCTATTTTTTAAAAATAATTTAAATGTATTAAAACATGGGAATGTACTTATAAATCGAGCATGAAGAAAAGTCTATCTACTTAAACCTAAAAATACACTGCTACACTTTTCCAAGTACACTGTACTACACGTATATCGGGAAGATAATTACCACGCTTCTTGAGTGATTTTAGTCGTAGGTGTAACAATCAAAATTTCCTGTATTAACAGGAAACTCCACTATTTCTAAAATATCACCTAAAAAATAAAACATGTGTTTAATGTAAAAAATATTTAAAAAGGGGTAAAGATACCATACCTTTCAAACTTTGCTAATGTATTGCACACGTGCTAGATAAACTTTTTATAAATAAAAACTTGTATAATTGTTAAATTTAATGTATTACAGATCAAGAATCTTATTTAAATTATCTAAGGATTATTACCAGAATCATCGGCTATGAGAATGACATCCAAAGAGATTTTGCCAATGTTTCATTTTACCATGTGAATGGAGAACAGATTGCAATAGGTAAACACAATATTTCTGTACCCTTTATTTAATGTTTTTGTTATCTGCATGTACTTATGGTGAAAGGTACATGTACATGTGCATCATGTTGCAATTATCATGTCCCATGGACGTTAATAAAATAAGCAACGATGGGCTTCTGAGCTCGAATACTGCTCGTCATCTCCACATATTTCATTTTTGAAGGAAATTTTATAAGAATGTAAGATTTTGAGGATGTGACGAATTTGTATGATGATTGACTATAAGCATTTCGTCAACAACCAAAATACAAAATTTGCACCGAAGACACCCAAACAATTTTGTTTGCCATCAATGACGGTATGCAACACATTAAAAAGTCGTTAGTTCCATTACAACTATTGTTTGTAATTTCTCAAAATTTTAGCGTCTTTGTTTCCTGCCATCTACAAAGTGAAATGCTTTAAATGTAAATTACCGGTTTAACATCACCGTATCAAAATAATACTAGTACGTAAATAAATTAAATTTTAAATGCCTGTGTTTATATTTCAAAAGTCTGATAAAGTAAAAGACAAATATAACATAAATATGAACAAGAAAAATAGAATGCACAAAAAAGAGAATTTTCATATTCAACTTCGAAATAAATACACCTGAAAATTAGTCTTTCAACATGTCAAAAACCCCTCTAAATTCATCTAAATCTTTATTTTATATCAGCACACAATTACATCCGCAATCTAAGACAAACAATAAAAGGTCTGTCCACGACAGCAACAACAGATGACATCGAGCAGATCAGAGAAAAGGTTGGAGCAGCTTTGTATACAATTCAGGAATTCTACAGCAACACGAACTGGGTAGAACTCCGTAGAAATAGCATTTATGAGGATTTCGGTAATACCAAACTGTATCTTTTTTTCTATCTGTTCACCGTTTTCAAAATTTATAATACTCAGTAATCTTAATGTAAATTTAAAAGCTGTTGGAAAAAAGTCAGATATTACATATAACATTATTTTACCAAGTTCAGGACGTAAAAAAAATCTTAAGTGTTTATAGAATACAATGTACTAGTATATTTTCCTCACATGACTTGAAATAATATTAACCCAAATGCATATATGATTATAAATATGTACCCAGCATTTTGTTTTAAATTTAAGGTCAAGACAGTGTAACATTGATAGAGGTGGCAGACCTTCAAGAAAACACCTGTTCAGACTGTGCATTTCTAGAAGGGTATGTCATATTACTATAATAAATATCCAGTGATATATTTCTCGTCGATTAATCTCAATAACATATATAATAACACATATTTTAAATTCATTTTATTCCATTTTTAAAAATACATTGACCACAAATTAGTGGCAAACGTGGAGATAAAGTTTGGCAAGAAGTTTCAACTCACATTTTACATTTGTGTCAGTACAGATTTTTTAGAAGCACAAAAATATGCATGAAATATCAATAAAAGCATGAAAACAAACGCTTATATCATCCAAAAGATACAGTCTAAGCATTTTTTACCAATTCTTCTTCATCAATTACGTGAAAATGACTTGTTTCAACGTTCGATTACTGTACTAATCAAATTACTTGTACGCACGCCTTTATATAAACCATTTTTATTTTACAACAATTGCAAAAAAATTGAAAAACGTAGAAATAACAGCTATGTATTATTTATATACAGTGTACTTGTTTATTGACAGGCTTATAATATGTGACAACAATATTGTTACCGACAAATTAACAAGTGGCTACAAATCAGGACAAGATGTAACAAAACCTGTCAGTGAGTGTTTTTTTCTTCATACATGTATTTTACAATGAAATTTATTTGATTTGAAGAAACTACATGCATATTTAATTTTTTCTCTTGTACAACACAATCTACAATGTCATATTCTCCATGCTTACATCTTAGAATAATTAAGAACAATTTGAAAGTCAATGCTTTTGATATTAATATGAAATGATTAATTTAGCGACTTATCAAAATTAAATACGCAAAATGTATGTATTTTTTCAATTTTTTGTAAAACAGTGAAATCTCTCTTTGAAATGTAATTGTTTGTTCAAATTAATTTTACACGGGTAACAATATATTAATACTACATAAAAGGAGCAGGTCTATCACGGTAAAACTACTTTAAACACAATCACATTCATTTAAAAAAGAAATGTGCTTCATCTCAGTATTACAGCGTTTAACCAGAATGTTGAGCTTTCATAAATAAGAGCAATACGACACACTCAATATCATCACTAGGACTAATCTCTTGCATACTGTAGGGAGTGTACAGAATCTAGTACTTGTACTTGAATACCCAGAGCATTCATTTATTACAATGTTATATCATTTTATTTTAGATTCGTTCAAAATGTATTACTTTTCTATTCTCAAGGGATAGAACCATTTTATTCTTCTGTTGGGAAGTTGTACAACATTATTTCTAAAAAGCCCACATAATAATTACATAATTACAAACTCATCGAAAACATACACGTATTTTAAAATTTGTCGAGTCAAGTTAATGTTCACCCCAAACTTAGTATGCGACAATAATGTCATATCTATATTACTTCTTCAGGGCAAGGTATAAGCGGGAAATGCAGTCATGGATCGTCGGATGATGACAGTCGCTTTATGACGGCAACCGGTGGAATCTACAAAGGAAGATCTGTTCAGAGCGAAGCTCCCCGCAGTATCCTGCATGCCGCCGCGTCGGAAGCAGCCATTAACGCTTCACAATACTTTCTTATCGGGCAAGGTGTGTTTTAAGTGTATTCGTCAATGAACAATAAAAAAAGGTGAAAATAACAAAAAGTAATCGCTCTCATGAAAACTACAAATAAATATACTATATGAACATGACAACAACACTACCCCCTGAATATTCGAGGTTCCGAATTGGGATCTGGTATCCTGGAGAACAATGCATCCCCTGTCGACCGGCCACACCATAAGCCGTTATATATTGATAACTTGCATCTTTAAAAACAAAATTATTTTTTCCACACTTTTTTAATTTTTAATTAAAAAAATCATTGTACACACCCTTTCAGGACGAGGACTTTTAAGTCTGATGGGTGAGGAAGTCTTCCGAGATGTCTTTGGTATACGGACCAGAGAAGATATAGTTAAAACGTCCTTGACCTTTGTCATTGACGTCACAGGTTCCATGGGGGATGATATTAAAGCGGTGATAAAGGCCACTCAGAAAATAGTCTATGAGGCAAAAGACTCGCAGTTCGTGCCAGAAAATTATATTCTCGTTACTTTTTCTGATCCTGGTTGGTATAAACAAAACAGTTACAACTATCTAATTTGAGGAATACATTTTCAGAAGAATTAAATCAATAAATGAAAAGTTTCTCGAGGATGTTAAAATGATTGCAGATTAATTCCTCTCTGTTGTTGTTGAAGCAATTCTTAAATCTGCAAGGAAACAATATAATTGATACATGAGAGATAGACGAAGCTAATATATTGATAATGATTGTAATTAAAATTTAAAGCATCGTTGACCACCGGAAGACAGACCGATAACCCAGAGGTCATGATAAATTGGCTTAAAAATCTCGCGGTAACAGGAGGCGGGGATTGTCCTGAATATGCTATGACTGGAATGTTGAAAGGCAAGATGTTGATGCATGTTCATTTTGTAAGACTCTGCTGTTGCAATTGTCATCTGTCACTTACATTTGACGGAAAATTTTTATATTATATACATTCCCGTAGGATTCAAATAAATAGAGATCTGTTAATGTCTCAAATAAGAAATCTGTCAAAATTAATTTTTTAGATATAAAAACTAGTTAACAGGCATTTAGAATATCTACTTTGTAGGAAGGAATTATCATGATTACCGGCAATAAATAATTACAAATACATGTACACTGTATATGCATACATTTATAAATCATTTAGAATCTACCATTATTAAGAGTTTGTTAATGCTGTGAAAAATGTCCCTTTTTTATAGGAATTGAAATGTCCAACAAAAATTCCAAAATTTACCTTTGTACTGACGCTGATGCAAAAGACGAGTATTTACAGGACCGAGTGATCGAAGGGTTGAGGGCGAAATCTCTCACACCAGTGTTCCTCCTTACCGGACAATGCTCTTCCAGGAGGAAAAGAGACATAATTGGTAAGCCTAAAAAGAGTAAATGCAATGTGAAAAATCTTTTATTTTGTTTTTTATTATATAAGTAAATTATAAAGGCATATAACCATATGTGAATGAAATATTTGGATAACGAACAGTATTCAAGCTCAAAAGTCCATTTAACAATACAAAATTTTAGCAGAGCAAACACGGCCCTCCAAAACGTCATAGATAGGATCAGGTGCCATGGAGGAGTAGGCATCACCTGGATGTAATATTCAAAGTTATCACAGATTTCGACTAAAATCTAAATTAACTAAAACGACTATATATTTTTTCCTAGATCTGGAACAGTCCCCGATACCAGATACTATGCTGCCGTCAGAAACCAACCTTTTCCATCGAGTGAAAAGATCGAGTTTGCAGGTGTTCGAGGCAATAGCAAAAGAAACTGGAGGAAGGGTATATGAAACAAAGGTGGCACAACTAGAGACAATAGTGGAAAAAGAGATCAAGGTTTTTTTTTCTTTCAATATTCACAAAAGCATGTCAAAGATTTCATTAGAACTTTTTTTTCTAAAGAATTCAGTTGCTCTTTCCCTTGAACTACATGTAAATACCAGATAAATATAACGAATTCAGAATAACTATAAAGCTATGAATCACATTTGAAATAGCTTTTAACAAGAACGATAGATTGATATATTTGTAACAATTTATAAATTGATATTATTGTAACAAATTGTTCACTAAAATACATGCAAAAATTAACCCGTCTAAGCAGCTGCCAAAACCATAAATGATTTATTTGTTATCCTAACTGTAAAAAAGAGAACAAAAAGATACAATACTTAAAAAAATATGAGATTTGTATTTTAAAAACTTTAAGAAATGCTTTTCTGACACTGTTTGTATTTGCAGGATACTTTTCCATCATCCAATGTCTTTATCACGTGGTTTGTGATACCTGCCAATTCTGCATCAAATGTTGTAATGTCTATTCCTGTAGACAATCACATGGAAACACTAAAGATAGATGCTAGGATAGTCATAAACCAGTTCGAATTTACTCTTTCTTATCCCAACGGTCTGTTTAATATTTGTATTTTGAAAACAATAATATCAAAGTAATTAAAAGTTTTAAACTTATTTAAATGTCCACGTGTAATGACATTAAACTTTATAACATTTTGAATTATATTTTTTCAGGTACAAATGTTATGTTTTCATCTGAAAAGGAAAAGCAAAACATTTTAGACAGCACTTTAACAATATCAATTCAGGTAAATTTCTAGATGTGACTCTCTAGCATCTTTTAACCTTTACATGTATGCATATAGATTTTGTATCCATGGGAGCAATTAAAAGATATCAAAGGAATCATTTTTTTTCTTTGAAAAACATAATTATAGTATAAATTGCATTATTGAAAAAGAAAAATTACGGGAATGTGATTAAAAACTGCTGAAAATGTTGCATTTATTACATTATCAAAAGGATCCAGGTCCTGGGATTTGGAAATTTGAGAAGAATACATTAAGTGCATGGATAGTAAACGTTACAGCCCAAAGTCCAATGGATTTCTCTACTAGTATTTTGGAACCCAGCTCTGATGGCAATTTTTACCAGTTGTCCGGAAATCCAATTAAAGGTTTGTAATCAGATATTATATACTGTAGATCACAAAATTTTAGCGACACCTTATTTTTACTAGATACTTATTCTTTATAAACGAGTCAAAATGTTCACGATATGTGGTTATTGCCCTATATATTTTAAAGGAATACCTATACACGCCAGTATGAAAATTAGGCGAGCAGATTGTCTCGCGTAATTACGCGAAAATAAAGTTCCCTCAAATAAAAGTGAATAACAGTAATCATGCATGTGATGTGAAATGTCACCATCGCTTTATAATAATAGATTCTAACTAATTTTTCAGGATACAACTATACATTAGTGGTTGATATTCAGAATTTGGACTCTAACTCCTCTTGTACAAGTGTTGGTCTGTTGGATAGAAATGGGACTGAAGTGGCAGAAGTTCCCGTTAGAAGATTAGACATTGCGAGTATAACTCGTTGCATTGGAGAGTTTGTTCCTCTGAATAAGGTATAAACTACATACATAAAGAAAAGACTTTAAAAAAATTCAATTAAATTGGCAAGAAGATATTGTCTCGTTACATTTAATTTCACAAAGTCTATTAGTGAAATTTTATGCAGAAATCTTACGAATATATACTTTTTTAAAGTCAAGTTACGCACAACTTAGAGGAGAAGATGCACTTGGTAATGAGTTCCTAAGGACGCGCATGTTTACTATTCTACCAGCCTCCGTGCAGCTGCGTGTTTATCCTGTTCTAGGTGAGTAAAACTAAAAAGCAATAGCTATATTGCATAGAACTAATTACAATATACAAAATAAAAATATAACATAGATAACCATGCTAAATATCATATGGAAAATTTGTAGTTGTTTTTCTTTTATAAGACAGGGTCGATTACTTGTTTCTGAGATTTTAGAATAAATAAAGGTTGAATAAAAAAAATTGAAAAAAAAGATATGTCGAAATTCGATTTTTATTCATTATTGAGCAATTTACGCTCCTTTAATAAATGAAAATGATAAATTTATGATACTTTTCAGGACAGTTACGTTTAAATGAAAGCACAAATATCACCTTTACCCTTACAAACACTGGGGATTCTTCTGTGAATTTCATGATCACTGTATCAAATGGTAAAACCAATATTACGGTACAACCGGGGAATCTTAGTGCTGGGGAGATATACACTGCTGTTGCCATGGTAACACCAGATTCATTGCAGCCAATGTGAGTACATTTAGATTTTATTCATAGTGCATAGTCTACATGAACATGTTTATATAAAAATGTTTGAATTAATAAAATGTACAAAACAATTCCGCTTGCACTAAAAGTCATACATCCAGTCACAATTTTGAAATATCTCAATAATATTTGGGAATTCTTGTCATGCATTATATGTATATTAATATTATTTTATTTTATTATACATTTATTGACATTTAAAAATTTCATGAAATCATTATATTCAAACCATTTTTACTTTGATACAATTAGAGTATTAGAATGGACCGTTACTCTGGAAAACTACACTGGTATTATCCAATCAGAAAGGAGGCGCTATTCCGTGAGTACAGCTGTGATCTTAGGGACGAATGAGATTGAAAGCTATGTAGGGAAATGAAGAAGAATGCATCAAATGATTTTAGTCTTTAAATAGTTTTCCCAGAGACTAAAACCATGTAAAAGAACATTTGATTGAATCAAAGTTTTAAATACGGAACATATTAAGCAAATCATTTGAAAAATTGTAAATGTAAGGAAAAGGCAATTATTCTTAAATAATTTAATTTTGTTTATATTCTCGCCTCTCATTGGTTGATTTCCAAAAAGGAACGCAAAACATTTTGTATAATCTGGTTTGGTATCAAATGGGACACACCCCCTTGACACCAGCTTAATCATCTTATCCATGCACTCCCCTCATTTCCAGTCCTCAGAATCCATGGAAAATTCAAGATTTAATAACTGTATCTTTAACTTCAAACACTTACTCGATCTTACCTCATGTAAACGCACATCATGGCTGCTAGATCTATGTATCAGTTATTACCTCCCCTCGCTTTACATCACTTCTGTTACTACGGTTGTATTAATGAGCAGCATTATTTGAACACATAAAAAGCAGCACAATTTCACATCCACGGTTGCTTAATTATTTTAAAATTAAATTATAAGGAATGACTTTAATTCTTGGCCAAATTATAATGAGATTAAAATCTTTTGGGTCAGTTTACGTTTTTTTATAATCCGCTTCGCGGATTATAAAGAGTAAACTGAAAAGAGATTATTCATCATAATTTGAGCCAAGAATATGTAAAGAGTAAAATTCCTTAAAATGACTGGCAAATACATGTACCTTAAAACGGACATCACATCTAATATCAAAAGACAAACTGAAAGAAAAGCTCCATATATATACTGAATGATATGATCATGTCAGCAGCATTTACAGGTAAAAACGATATCTTGGGACAATATAAGTCTTTAAAATGAACTCTTTCTTATATATAATGCCATACGAAGTTTTTCTATCAACGTTTGTAATCAATGCTTTAAACATGTTAAAAGTGTAGTTTGGTTAAGCAAAATAACTAAGAAAACTTCTCGAAAAGAGAGTGTTTGCTTTGACGGATATGGCTGGTAAGATCTATAGGGTTACATTCATGTGCATCTACGACTTCCTATAGGTTGGCATTCAGATTAGATGAATAACCAGAACCCACTTACAGCCCTATCGTTGACACACGTCCAGCATATTGCTGCAGTAGGGCGTCCTATGAGATTGTCAACGTCCTATTAAAATAAATCCTCCACGAAAGTGACGAAACATCTTCACATCCTTGAACACAATCTTTAAAAAGTGATCTCGTTTAAGGGTCTATTTTCTTATTTTCAAATGAGATATCCCAAGATATTTAAAATAAATAAAACCCCTTTATGCATGTGTTTGTTTCTTTAATATTAATTATAGCTCTCGATTCTACCTAAGAGGCACGTGTTTGAGCTTGATTACTATTTGTTATCTCCATTTTTCACTTATTCCGGCTACCTACAATATGGAAAATGAAAGAATTCTTTTTTTCTGAAGGTGGCAGACACGAGAACAGCAGACTGTATAGTGCTAAAATATCCAGAAAGATGTCCCGTGCAGTCCCTCAACACTGGGAACTGTTCCTCCTACAACTGGACAGGATTGGTCCAGGTCTCATCAGCAACTATATGGCTATCAGAGATCAGCGTATCCTCTGATGAAGTCATGCTGGAACATATGAACATATCAGAGGCAAACTTCTCCCTACCTATAGCAATAAGGTGAAAAACATGAAAAAAGAGAGATAGAGAGAGAGAGAGAGAAAGCAGTTCACTGTTAATAACTCTTTTTTATATAGAGTAAATGCAAAACACTCAGATAAATCCAACTGAGCAAGATTCATACCCTTTTACGAAAAAAATTATAATCAAAATTAAAACGTACTGCAAAGTGGAAGGATATAAAAGTTTTCTTAATTCAAATAGTAAATACAATAGCTTTAATCTTTTTTTCAGTGGCGCTTGTTGTATACAAGCAGTTGTTCTTACCATTACTGACAACGATGGTAAATTTGATCGATGTAATTTTATCCTCTCTGAACAACCTCTTTCTGTTGTTCAAGAAACAACAACAGTAGGTACAACAGCAGTAGAAGTTCAGACGACAACAACTGCTACATCAGTAGATGCAAAGGTTTGGCTCTTGCAACCAATGAATATTGAATAATTTTACAAATAAAGTACCCAATTTCCAGGAATCATTCCTGATTGAAAAATTACATTGAGGTTTTTTTTTTTACAATTGGGAATGATTAATTCCTATGAAACTTGATTTTCAATAATCTGCAAAGCTCGGCCTCAACCGAAACAAACTTGCGTGCCTTGCTGGATGGCTATGTATTTTTTCGTACTAAAATCTTTATAAATAATTGTTTTTCATGATCTTCAAAATCAAAAAAATATTTTGAATTGAGACCAGCTACTCAAAGTTGTGATTTTTTGTTTGGTAAGACTACATGCCAAAGTTAATGACTATTGACTTACACTTGCAGGAACAGACAGCAGTTAACTGGACTTTGATTGGTATCGTCGTCGGATCAAGCGTCGCAGGAATCATCCTCATCGCACTTCTCGTCGTCCTTATCTACAAAACAAAGAGAGGATCTAGGGCTGAGGACAAAATAATGTTATCACATCGTTAAATATGTGTTAAATGATTCTCAGATAAAATATCGTCAATTACTAAATAAAATTAGTACAATAAGCTCGCATAAATCCTGAAAGAAAATGAAAGATATTTTCATAATTACTTGTCTGTTTCATTTTAAATATCTTCCTTGCATTGTATCTGGATTCCCCTTACACTGTATCTGGATAAATGTTGTAATGAGAAAATTGAATACAAGGATTACTCCACACATTCCACTATATGCTAAATTGTAAGCATTGAATGGACACATTTTATTTTTAATCGAAAATATGCATGAATCATTTTAAATATTATGTAATTGAATTTTGCTTCCATATTAACTTCCATCAACTTATAACAGTACAAAACATTTGGGTCAATTAACAGTATCTTTTTTTTATTTCATTAAATTGTTTAACTATTTCAGCAGGATAAATAGATACTGTGTTATGTTAAATTAAGTAATACTAATTGTGTAAATTGTTTGAAACGAAAACAATAAAACAATGCTTTATTTTAGTTTGACCCATTCTTTCTGTCAAGAACCATATCTTGGAGCACAAAGATTAAAGATATCAAATATTCTTAATTCTTAAATTGCTGTTATTAATTTAGCAAATATAATTTGCGTACTTACATGTATCTGTTGTGTTTTGTTTTAAAACTGACATTCCCCTGTAAAGCTTTCAATTATCATGAACCTTGTGCGTAATTAAGGCAACTGATTTTTATCGAATTAAATTCTTTGTAAATCGCAAATTATTTGAATTTGCTTGATAAAAAGTTTGCTTTATTTAACTTATACCGGGTATGTAAGCCAAGAATCCAATATTATGGATCAGACCTCAATTGAAAATTTGACTTCAAAGGTAAATATTTTAAAAGCACGAAAAACATCAGTCTCAGTCAACATTTATCTGAATGATAACTTGTATTTGTTGACAAGGACATTGCATTTACCATAAAACTTAACGAAATACATGTACACATGTAATGACTTTAAACGAGACTGCTAACTTGTTTGTCAAAAATTTACGTCGTTTTACAAATTGTTCATACGAAGAGCATGCTCTTGCGTATCAAATCAACTGAGATATATAAACTCTGTATGCAGGTGATGAAGGTACATGTATATTGCTGCATAAGTAAGGGAAGTTGACGATTGTAAAGTTAAAGTCATCGCGTTTATTATAGAGCTTGGTTGTTAGATAACCATAACGTCTTTTTCAATTAAAATATCCAAATATGAAACGATTGTCTCGGACTCTTTGGTCTCGTTTATTTCAAGCTCACTAGGATATATCATATCGACATACGAATGGAACATGTGGAAGTTACAATTGTTAATTGACAATACATCGTGGATATATCTAAATGTCGAGTTGAAGGCCACAGCAAGTATTTTTCTTCTTTTCACGCAAATGATTTTGCAGAAATTCTGCTTCATATGAATACAAAAATAGGTCTGCTAATATTACGTATATTAATGATGATCAAGAAATAAATATAATCGCTGGTGGATTTTCTCCATTATGTTTTTCTTCTTTTGCACGTAAAAAATCATAGTATGGAGACCAAAGACTGAAACTAGACAACTGATCTTATGAATAAACCAATGTCAAATCGGATGATTGTTTAAAGTTCAAAATATGAATGGTCTCCCGCGTGGTGCAATGTTTAGGAAGTCTGCTTTAAAGTCGCGGAGTAACGAGTCAAATCTTATGTAGCGGGTACGAATCCCACTGTGGGACGTGAAAACCGGTCTTTCGGATGAGACCGTATAAACCTAGGTTCTGTGTCGCAGTAGGTGCTGGCACGAAAAAGATCCTTCCCTGCTCAATGGCTGTAAGTGTCGAGTATAGGACAAAATTTGCAGCTCTCAACCGACCAGTGGTGGCATCACCATATGAGTGAAAAATTCTCGAGAGGGGCGTAAAACAAACAAACAAACAAACAAAAATGTAAATGTAGGGATGTAACAATACGATCTTTGCTTGCTGATATAATTTATATAAGCATATAAAAACGCCCAAATTTTAATTGGTTTTTATTTTTAAAAAATACAAATTCAATAAGACTCCCTCGATCTTCATCTTTTTTACTATTAAATGGCTGTATCTCTTTTATTAATTTTTATAAAGAAATAGTGATCTGGGGCTCGTTTCTCAAAAAGTCGTAGTTTTGGGCCTAAGTTAGTCTGACTAAGAAAGTTACGCCAAATTTTAGACGGGCCTAAATCGCGTTTCAGAAAGCGGCGTAAGACTGGGCCTAAGACTTAGACCTCTCCGCTAGGTACTAAGCATGCGCAGATCGTATTTTATTTGGTTTAGAGACTACAATGACACGTGGCGGATCAAATTAATATCAAACTTAAACTTAAATACAGGATGTAAAGCACGGGAAGCACGGCCGCGCTTGCATGTTTTCTGTTTTCAAAGTTTTTCAAACAGATATATTACGCAAACCCATCTGTGTTTTCAAGGTCAAAGCATTACATATAACATAGTACCGGATTCAGTAATTTTGAAAAAGGGACAGATTGGGGTTTGGTAAGGGACCCACAACCACACCAAAAATTGATTGAGTAAATCTTTCGTTATTATTTTGGACAAAGGCCTCCTATCCCCCCGCCTCTACATCCACAAGTGTTATATCAAATAATTAATGGTATTTTGATATGGTCAGAAATAATATATACATTAGAAAAACATAAATTGTGATTCTATTATTTTTATATACATTTGTACATGTTAAGCAACAATTTTGAGAGGCAGGGGAGGGGACAACCAGTATCCAGAGGAAATTTTTCTCTAGAGTGGACGGGCGGAGGTCCCGGCCCCACGGTGTACTACTGTGAAAAATTAAAAATTATATCATACTAATAATAATTAAAACATGGATGAGATTTTTAAAAATTCATCGGTTGTGATAAATTTATATTTTCAATCAATTTTTTCAATATACCTGTATTCATAATGTTGCACTTTGGACATACAGTATTACATTTATGTATTAGATATGATGACTTACTCATCAGTCCATGTAAAAACGTATATATCACTTGCATTATAGCCCACACATTCTCAATAATGGCTTGCAAAAGTTTCATTAATTTAAAATCGAATTCTTGTTATCCACACTACAGCAAGAAATCTAGTAATTTTTATAAATTACTGAAATAATCCTGTTTGAATATTTTCAAATCAGATTTACTAGTATTTACATCGTAAAAGGTACAAATTTCAACATCAACATATTTTCCTTAAATCTAGCCGCCATTTCTTTTTAATTTCCATTGTGAATATTTCATACAATATTTTTTTAGATGCAGGATGTTTCTTGAAGATGTAATCTAGACTTAAAGATATTAACAAGTCGCGATTTTCAGACTCTTAAATAGTTTTTGGATATTTTCTGAATCTCATTTACAATAAAACATTTTTCAACATATTATTGAGTAGTTTTGTTTCAAATGTAATAGGGTTTATTTATCTGCTCATAAATCTAAGGACCCCTTTAACCAAAACTCGTCTGAGAACAGGCACGTAGCAATAGGGAGGGGCCTGCCCCCTTTTTTCCCCAACATTACTTTTATTATTGAAAATGTTTATTGAAAGACTGGTCCCCCCCACACTACAGTCAAGTGATATCAGGGAAATGTAGTATTGTATGCAAGAAAATTGGCACTGAAAGAAGTTGACATTGGAAAAAAAAGTTTGAATTAAAGGGGGAAATTAAAGATGCATTATTTAAGTTAAGGTGCATTAACTTGGTTGATGGCAAATTACCGTATATTTCATATTTTGAAAAATGAATATTATTTCAGGATTTTATTGAAACATTATCCTTTTCAACAAAAAAAAAAACTATCCGAGACCTAGCATCGTTTTAAAAATGTAAATGGGGGATCAGTGGGGCGGGTGGAGGATAAGTAATTGAATAATCTAAGTATTCAGCCGAGAAGAGAAATACTGAAATCGATCAGCCCATAAATAATACAGCTTTTTTTTTTAAACAGAAAACATATTACTACATTGAATAACGGAAGAGTTGCAGCCCCCACCCCACTAGTGGCCACTACGCGTGCCTGCATTTTTTTTTAAATTTTGCGCTTAACCAACTTGAATTCAAAATTCTTAGTTACAAATTTCTTGTTCATCTCACCGTTTGCGGAGAATTGTCTGCATTTCACTACCTTTCTATTTTCCTACATACAGTTGTGTATTTCACGATTTTTTGCATAATCATATAATTATGTATATGTATATGAATAGGTATTATACCGTATACGTATAAAATAGTTATTCTTTTAACTCTTTATGATTAAAACACATGCCCTTTTTTCCAAGTTGTGTACAGACTTAGAACTTACGCCTACTCATGAGCAGGCCTAGATTTAAACCCAAATTTAGTCTCGACTAAGTCTCCGCCTTTTTGTGAAACGCAACTTAGTCCGATTGTCGGGTTTAGTCACTGATTTAGTCCGGACTAAGCTTACGACTGGTCGTAGGTCTTTTTGAGAAACGGGCCCCAGCTGGTGTTAATTTTACTTGAAGAATTGTTTAAATATTTCACATTCTCTTTTTTTATTTATTCGTGCATTCATATGGTTACTATCTAAATCTAAACAAGTAAAACTATAAGCGACAAAAAAACTGAAGTAGTAAAAGAGCTTTGTTTTCAGAAGCTTTTGATTTTCTCGCCTCACGCGACTATCTTTAAACTCTATCACTACACATAAAAGAGATCCCTCAATACTGACATGAATGAATCACTAAGCCGAAATAACCTATAATTTTTGTTGCGCAATTTTCTACCGTGTCCTTGAATATTTCTGCAAACAGCAATATGGATGGTCGATGTTTTATTATTCTGTGCTGTAGTTTTGCAGTTGTTTTAACCTTTCCCTCAAATTTTATGATCGGGGAAGCGGAAACATATAGTCATTGTAGGATAACTTCCTTAGGTATACTACGAGCTACCGTAAAATTTTTGGAGCGCGTCGGTGCACGAAGTAAAAATTTTGATAACGTGGAGCAGGAAGTGAGGGATTATTTTGGAACAGGTGAGTACGTAAACTCTCCGATGTCGGTTTTAAATTTTATAAGTTACTCCGTATCGACACAGTTTTGGGACTATTAACGAAATAATAAACAGACTTTTTGGATAAATTATATTGCATTCTGGAAAATGCATGTTTTGATTTACCTTAACTTGAACTATTTTTATTTTTTTCGGAACGACTAAACATTTATTGATTAAATCTAAAGCTTATAATATCTGCCTATATCTCACCACAGCATTCTCGATTTTCCTTCATTCACTGAAAATCAAAGTAAAGCAAAATGATTGTTTTGTTATTTAATTATCTTGCGAAGTGTTTTTTTTAATCCATACTTTTAAATCTTTCTTAAGGAGGACAAAGAACTATTTTAAAGGGCACACTTGACAAAACTAAGTAGAAAAAAGTATTTGTGTCCTAAAATCTATAAGTACATGGAATTTGAGATCGTTTTACAAAAGGCCTTGCAAAAGTTATAATTTTACGGATTGATAAACACATATTTATGTATACATGTATATTGGTGTTTGACTTCGTTGAACAATGTTGCCGTTGTTACTATAAAAAGAGAAAGAGTTTATGCGAAATACCATCAAAACGCTATTCACCCAGTCCCTAAATTTTTGGTCTGGTTTCAATAAGTAAAGTACACATTGATACACAATTCTGTAAAACGGATTTTGACTTTCGATGATCTTGTTGCCATGGTTAATAAAATTAAATTATGTCTCTTAAATACTTTCAAACTGCTATTTCTTTTACACTTTAAGTTGGATTTCAAAATAACGTGGCACACATGTAAACTACACTAAGATTCATAATTCTCTATATCGGATTTTGATTTTTTGATTTTTCCCCTTTTGTTTTATTGTTTGATTTTGATGAAGGATGTTTCTAAAAAACTTAAATAATTTATGATTTTTAGCTCACCTGAGCCGAAGGCTCAACTGAGCTTTTCTGATCACATTTTGTCCCGCGTCCGTCTGTCTGTCTGTCCGTAAACTTTTCAAATTTTCGAATTCTTCTCAAGAACCGCTGGGCCAATTTCAACCAAACTTGCCACAAAGCATCCTTGGGTAAAGGGGATTCAAGTTTGTTCAAATGAAGGGCCACGCCCTTTTTTAAGGGGAGATAATTATGAATTAGTGAAAAATTATTGGCATTTTTAAAAAATCTTCTTCTCAAGAACCACTGGGCCAGGAAAGATGAAACTCATCCTCAGGTAGTGTAGATTCAAGTTTGTTCAAATCATGACCCCCGGGGGTTGGGCGGGGCCACAATGGGCGACCAAAATTTTACATAGATATGAATAGGAAAATTCTTTAAAAATCTTCTTCTCAAGAAATACAAAGCTATGATTGGTCATATTTATGTGGAAGCATCCTCAGGTAGTGTAGATTCAAGTTTGTTCAAATCATGACAATCCTTCTCAAGAATAACAAAGCCATAATTCTTCATATTTATATGGAAGCATCCCCAGGTAGTGTAGATTCAAGTTTGTTCAAATCATGACCCCCGGGGGTAGGGCGGGGCCACAATGGCCAACCAAAGTTTTACATAGAAATATATAGAAAAATTCTTTAAAAATCATCTTCTCAAGAATAGTAAAGCCATGATTGCATGGTCATGGGACTTCTTTTGGATTAAAACTTTTCAATAATAAACCAATTTTCTAATTTTTCCTAGCCACAGTGCTCAGGTGAGCGATGTGGCCCATGGGCCTCTTGTTTTTAAAAATGCTACTCTTTCGACAGTTTTAGTCTGATTGCAACCTTGCCACAGAAAGAGACTTAATCAGGAATAATTATTTCATTTTATTATTGCTGTTGCAAAGTTATTAGCCTATGCTCTCCTTTCATTTTTCTTTGTTATAGTGGACAGAAACTTCTGGTTTTTCAGATAATGAATCTTACAAAAAGTACTGGACGATTATCAAAGCAATTTGTAAAGTTGAAGGTATAATTCAAAGAGACTTTGTCAACGTTTCATTCTACCACGTAAGCGGCGAGCAGATTCAGTTAGGTATGTTGAATGAGTTCAAGCTTCATAATTATACAAGTGCGTATTTCTATCCCCTTGAATGATCTACTGAATTAGTATATTAAGAATACATGCAGAATGGCACTTCATGGTATGATATTTTATGATCTTTCAGACAGTTTTATATTGTAAAAAATTCTAAAAGAAATTACAAAGTGTGTTTTTTGATAAATTTATGTTTTTAGAAGAGAATTATATATTTGTGAAATCCCCCCCCTCCCTGATTTTTTTTTATTACTGGATATCACTGTTTTTGATTTCATTAGATTGTTTTTAATTTTTAAAAATAAATCTTTTATAAAAATTATGAAATTTATGGAGATAATGAATAGTCTTCAAGCTCGAAAGTCCAAAAAACAATACAAAATAGGAGCAGGGCAAACACGGACCACAAAAACATCAGAGGTGGGATCAGGTGCCATGGAGAAGTGAGCATCCACTGCCGACAGTCACACCTGCCATGTTGTCCTTGTCATGATCGGTAGATATCGGAAAATTCCGTCGTCAACTCAGTGTATTCATAATGGACTAACAGTTAGTATGAAAAACGTCAGTCAGTATTTGACTTAATGACAATTTGTTTTTGTTGAAAAAATCATTGTATCGACCATAGAACTTTGGAAAATTGATGATTACTTTAAACTAGACTGCTGATATTTTTGTTTCATCAACTTTGATTGTGAGTGACTTATCTCAATTTAGAAATAGTTCACACGTAGAGCTTGCTCTTGCGTATGGGATCAGCTGAGAGATTTAAAACATATATATGAAGGCGATGAAGGTATTTGCTGCATATCTATTGAAAATTGACGATTGAACAGTAAAAGAATCATAATCCCTAAATATTTTCAACCCAACTTAAATTAAGATCTTAATCACTAATCATCCACGTCCAAAATACAATGTTTCAGTCATATTTTTGGCCTTTGCTGCTTTTATTTTACACTGATTAATGGTCCACGTACTGAAAAAGATAAAATATGTCCTTCCACAACTACATCTAAATAAGTTGCTTCGGCAAAACTTTTTTTTTTCTTCAAACTTTTTGAATGATATAACACTAATAAAAAACCCTATCAATATGCAAAATTATGTAATTGAAAGAATTATGTTAAGTTAAAGCTTATCATGCATTCCATATGGTTTATCTATTTCAGCCCATATTTACATCAGAAATTTACGACACGAAATCATGCACTTTTCTAAAGCAGCTGTTCCTGACATCTCAGAAATAAGAGAAGTAGTCGCAAGAGCTTTGTACACTATCCAGGAATTTTACAGCAATACAAACTGGATAGAACTTCATGGAAATGCTGTTTATGAAGATTTTGGTACGTTATTTAGACATGCAAAATGACTTGATTTTTGTCAGTAATCTTTGCATAATGTGACTATCTTAAAATTCAGGTACATTTACATCGGTATAAGTATATTAACATGAAAGGGGTGTGCCTCTGTAATGCAGGGATTACATGTAATGATTTTATTACCATTACATGTGTCTTTTATTAATTTCAATCTGAAGTTGAAAATTATTACATGTCATGGAGAAAAACATACAGTTTTTCAATATACTTATTCATCTCTGCAATATTTAATTAATTTTAATAATTCAGAACATTTAATTATTATTTTTAATTACATATTTCAGAGATTGATAAGTATATTGAAATACTGTAAATTTTTCTCCATGACGCATGTACGAAAGAAACTTTTAACAATGATTATCGCTCCCTGAATGTTGAGTTTATAAAGAAAGATTGGCATCCACTGAATTGTATCTCCATTATTTCTTAAGAAAACACATTACAATTTCAATATTGAATTTTGATGAAAATGATGTGAATGCTGCTTTATTGTGCTAATTGGCTTACCTTTTTTTTGAGGGCCGTCTTTTTTTTGTTGTTGGGGCCTGTCATTTGTACTTGTTTGGCAGTCCATCCATTCTTTTCCCAGAGATACTAAAAGCATTAACAATTATTCGTGTACTTTACGTCTATTTTATACATCTCCGAGATCCCCCTCCAAAAACGTTTGCTGGAGAATAGGTTTTCGTCTTTGTTGGCCCATATATGGATTTATCTGTTTGTTTGAAGTATGCAGATTTCTACTTAATGCTAGGTATTATTAAAAAGAATAATCCAGCTAGTTTTATCTGTGAAATTTCAGGGCAAGACAATGTAACATTAGTAGAAGCGGCGGGCCTGAAAGAGGATACATGTACCAACTGTAATTATACAGAAGGGTAAACAGGCATACAACATCTAATCATTTAACATTTTACTTTATTTAAATTAAAGTATTTATATCTGTTGATTTTTTTAGATTGAGCTAAGTCGAGACGGATAAATTTTTAAGCTTGGATTACAATAAAATTTAAAGTTTATGTTAAGTAGACAAATTGACTCGTATAAATTTGAGTCTTTAAAATACCTAACCTAACTGAAAAAAAGATATGTTTGTAAAACACTGATGCCCCTGTATGGAAGCTTATTGCAGGGGTCTTGTATTTCTCAAGTGTAAGTCAAACTCCAAAGGTCAAGGTCAATTTTTTTGGTTTCGATAGGAAGGTTTTGTCATAGAAAATAAACCTGTGAAATATAAAAGCCGGCGTTTTAACTGTTCAAAAGTTATGATCAAAGGACAAGCCATAAGCTGCCGTACGGGGGCATAAGAATTTCACAAATACATCTTGTAAGACATGTCTTTGTTAATTGAATCTTTTTTTTATATATACAAGTTATTTAAAAAGAGATGTAAAATGAGGAAAATCCGTTTGCTTAAGTGACATAATACTTGAAACTAAAGATGTATCATAAGTTTGACCCAAAAAACGTTTTGAAACAAAATTTCTTATCATCTTTTAAATTGTTTGTATTTAATGTTAGAAATTAATGCAGCAAAACATTTTATCAGAATAAATGATCTTGAAATGCGAAATGGATAAAAAAGATAATAAAATTAATATGAATTATATTTATTATATAAGATTTTCAACATACGTATATGCTTTTATTCTTTTAAGGCTTTCAATGTGTGACAACAACTTAGTTGCTGACAAATTAACAAGTGGCTACAAGTCAGGACAAGAAGTAACAAAACCTTTCCGTGAGTCATCTATCTTTTTTTTTTTGCTCAGTTTGATAATGTCCACTTCAGATATAAAACACCTTTGGATCATAACTTTCATAACAAAAATGTACTATAGTTACGCTGCTTACGCATGCACTACTGTAAATCAAAGATTTTCTTTTAGCTAATCAAAGTATTTTTACTATGAACTACAAAATTCCTACAAATAATTTTTTATGATAAAAACGTATTTTTTTCTATATTATTTTTTTAACAATTTTTTTCACCTATTTTGAGAAAATTAAGAAATATTAACGCTCCAATTCTCCAAAAAAAGTTCTAGAGTAAGGTTTTAGAGTAATTCAAAATATAAGTTTTTACTATAATAAAAAGTATAGTTAACATAAGTATATTTTTGTTATGTTTAACATGTAGAAGACATTCGATTTTTTAAAAGTTTTGTGTATTTTTGTATATACAAATCTTTGAATAAGCATGATAGCCCAATAATTTTATCACCACTCGAATGATTCACATGCATGTATTTCTGATAAATGTTTTCTTCAAAAAACGTTTTAAGGACAGGGATTAAGTGGAAAATGTAGTCACGGAACACAAGACGACGAAAGCCGATTTATGACCGCCACTGGCGGTATATACAAGGGGAGATCTGTTCAAAGGGAGGCTCCACATAGCAACTTCCACAGCGCAGCCGCAGAGGCAGCTATTTCCGCTACAAAGTACTTTCTAGTTGCTCCAGGTTGTTGGCATTGTACATTTAATAAACAATACATGTAAAGAAACTGATGGTTTATCTCTTTTCTTACAAACTGCATACAAAAATTAAACATGTATGAAAAAACATTTTTATCATATTTTGTCTTCAAATTTTAGATAAGGGGCTTTTAAGCCTCATGGGTGAGAAGGTCTTCCGGGATGTTTTTGGAATACGAAGCAGAGAGGAAGTGGTAAAGACGTCTTTAACTTTCGTTATTGATGTCACGGGCTCCATGGGTGATAACATTAAAGAGGTCATAAAGGGAACGCAGAAAATCGTCAGTGAAGCTAGAGACTCTCAATTTGTGCCAGGAAACTACATTCTCGTCACATTTTCTGATCCTGGTTGGTACAAAAATCCTTTTCGTCCGACTTTTACCATATGAATTAACTGTAAGCCCTTGAGCATAAATGACATGTAGATTTTCTCGAAATATGAATTATAAAAACTGGTTTCGTTGTCAAATTATAGCATGATTATAATTATAACTAGAAAGTCTGCTATTGCAAGTAATAGCATATGTCGCCCCGAACTGGACAAGACTTTCATTTTTTCATCACTAAAACAATACCCATTAGCTAAGCTTGGACAACCATCAACTCGTATCAGTCCTTTCAGTACTTTGATTTAAAAATCAACGTTAATTTCCCCTGTTTCCATGGAAACTATTGACAATTTGCAAATTTTAAATCCAATGAGCACAATTTCAGATACTAATCATAACATAAATAAAATTTCATGAAGAATGTTCAAAGGACTAGAGAGAACACCCGCGGACAAAATTCGTAGCTTTTTGCAGGTTTCCATGGCAACGGTAGCCATTTTGAAACTGAATGACCACACAACACAACTAAAACCAGTGATCCTCCTTTGAGGTAAGTTTCAGGAAGATTGTCCCAGCCATCTCCGAGAAACAGCCTGGAGAACAAAAACATGCATACAATCGCAATATGTCACCCGACTTCGTTCGGGGCGACATAATTAAAAGAAGGTGAAAGTACAATGTAACGAACACGGACCTTGAAAATTCAATAGAAGATCAGGCGCCTAGGAAAAGAAAGCATTCCCTGTAGACCGGCCAAACTGCTGTGCAGCTTACCTTGTACGTACTGATGAAAAATATACGGAGATAACGAACAGTATTCAAGATCAAAAATCCATTAAACAATACAAAATAGGAACAGAACAAACAAAAAGACGGAATGTTCACCTAGGCTAGTTAAATTTTGTTTAAAAACAAAGGTCAAAGAAAAAGTATGAAACCATTGATAGTTAATTTAGATTGCAAATTCATTGTAACAAACACAGAGCTAATGAAGAACTTAAATTCAACTTGATTGTAGAAAACTCTATAAAGTAACAAATGAATTGAAATAACTTTCAGAGTGTATGCATAACATGCATAAGAAATAACGTTTACAGCAGTTAATATTTTTGTGAGCAGTAAAGATAAGAGTTTAAAAGAACATTTGCTGGAACCAGCAATGTATCTTTAATTGAAAGGATTTATCTGAATTTTAGGAAGGTTACATCAAACTAATCTTGATTAGTTGGTATGTTGAATATATTTTTTAACAAAAATATTTACTTCTAAAGAATCGTTGACGACTGGTAGAAAAACAACAGATCCACAAACCATGATAACATGGCTTCAGAATCTAAAGGTCAGTGGAGGTGATGATTGTCCCGAATATGCTTTGACTGGATTGTTAAAAGGTACGAAATGGATTCAGGTTTATTTTGTACGTTTCCACTTAGTTTATTTTTTATGCCCCCCTTCGAAGAAGGGAGGACATATTGCTTTGCTGCTGTCTGTCGGTCCTCCACCAGTTTCTGTTCATTTTCTTTGCAGAGGTTGTACCTATTGATATGAAATTAAATATACAGATTTATAATAAAAATATCTAGGTCAAGGTCTGTTTTCGGTATAATTGGACCATTTTGGACAAACTATGCCCCTTCGACCTCGAAAAATTCCAATTATTTGGGTGAGGGAGGCTTGAGTATTTTACAAACATCTCTTGTTTAAAAATATATTATTTTGAATGATATAAAAACGGTCTGCAAAAATCCGAACCGAAAATATCGTATTGTATATGTTTATAAGTTAAATAACTTGATATTATTGAAACACTTATTAAATAAAATTTCGGCACTAAGATATGTTGACTTGGTTAGTTTCAAAATACTTAAAATTTACTGTGTAATTCATTTTTTTTTATAGCGAGCGCAGCGAGCGTCGCGAAGCGACGCTC